TTTTTTGACAGAGTCTCACTCTGTTGCTCAGGCTGGAGTGCAGTGGTACGAGCTTGGCTCACTGCAACTTCTGCTTCCTGGGTTCAAGCGATTCTCCTGTCTCAGCCTCCCAGGTAGCTGGGACTACAGACGCACGCCACAATGCCTGGCTAATTTTTTGTGTTTTTAGTAGAGATAGAGTTTCACCATATTGGTCAGGCTGGTCTCAAACTCCTGACCTCAGGTAATCTGCCTGCCTCGGCCTCCCAAAGTGCTGGGATTACAAGCATGAGCCACCATGTCTGTCCCCTTTGTTTATTTTAAAACATACGTGAATAAAGAAAGAAATGTTTAAGCATCTATGACTAATCTTTAAAAGACAGACAACTCGTAGTAATGAATATAGTATGAACTCAGTCTGATAGCATAAAACCATCGATGGGATCTAGAAACCAACAAAGAACACACAGGGTCAGGCTGAGCGTGGGTTTGATGGTCATACACCGTGCCTGGCCCTCCTGCCCTAGAGAACCATCAACAAGAGACTCAATCCTCTATGCAGAGGGATCATTGGGTCTCTTGATGAGAACACACCCATTCTTGCTCATTTACAGTGAGCCTATAGGTACTGCACAGATCCTGGCCAGGAGGGGTAATCATTAGACTAAGAGAATGAGATACCACCATTCTACCACCAAAGCTTCTGGTCCTGTCAGGGGAGGTACACATATTTTCAGGTAAGGGACTACAGGGTAACAAATTCGACAGACAACATTTTTCTCCGTCTCTGTCACGTGAACTCACTCAGCTCACACACCTTGTTCTTATGCCTGGGATGCAATCAACTTGCCAGGCCCCTGGAAACAAACACATACCTGTAATCATCACAGTCCTGATATGGGCCTCGCTTAGTTCCTTCAAGACTGGTTTGGTTTCTTTTTTCAAGCGATTCTCCATGATGAGAAGTCCCAGAAATGTTAACTCTGACTCCACTTTTTCTCTTTGGATTCAGGAGAAAATCAATATTAAAGTATATCTACATAGCCTCAATAGTTCAATTTATTTCTTCTTTTAAAATTTTCTTATAATTTTTATTAATGTAATACAGCACATTTTAAAAATCAAAATGAACTTAAAAGCTTATAATGAAAACCAACAGTCTGTGTCTCCACACAACCTCACCCCTCTCCTTCCTAGAGCAACCACTTCTAAATTTGTTTTTTCTAGTTTTCAACTTTATTTTTAAAAACAGTGTGCTTATCTTCCAACTATTCTGTTGGTTTTTAAATATTATGCTAATCAAATATATTTATTTTTTAATTTCTCAGAGCTTTCTCTTTTTTGAGTTTGCAACTGTTTCAGCTTATTTGGCATTTGGTAAGTGCATCCTGCATACATACAAGATACTACAGTAGTAGCCGAATATGGTGTCATTCATCTTAGCCTTTCTATCACCCTCAGTAATATGTGTTGACATCAGACAGGGCTCTGAGTAGTTTTCAGAATTTGAAGTTGGTGGCTTATAGTCTAATTGGGATACATTAGTTACACAGGACTTGTCCTCTGAAATGGAATGAATCTTGGGTGGCTTTTTAATAAGTGGATTTGGGGGCCAAGAACTCTTTTTTGATCCTTCATTGTTCATTTTTCTGTGCACTGTGGTGTTAAGATTACAGGGAGATATATCTGAACAATATATATACAGCTGTGAAACCATTACTGTAATCAAGGTAATAAACATCCATCACCTCAGAAAATTTCCTTCAGCCCTGTTTTGCATGTGTGTGTGCATGCACATTAAAATCACTTTTCTAGAATGTATCCAACTTGCATAACTGAAACTTTATACCCATTAACAACAACTTCCTATTTCCCCCTCCCCCTAGCCCTTGGAAATCACCATTCTACTCTCTACTTCTATGAATACGTCTATTTCAGATGCTTCAGATAAGTAGGATCATACAGTATTAGTCCTTCTGTAACTGGCTTATTTCACTGATGTCTTTCAGTTTCATTCACGTTGTCTCATATGGCAAGATTTTCTCCTTTTCAAAGGCTTAATAATATTCCATTATATGTATATACTAAATTTAAAAAATCCCTTTATCCACTGATGATCATTTAGGTTGTTTCCGTATCTTGGCTATTATAAATAATGCTGCAATGAACTTTAGGGTGAAGATAACTTTTTTTGAGATCCCAATTTCTGTCCTTTTGGATATATACTCAGAATTGGGATTTTGGCTCATTGGATCATATGGTCATTATATTTTTAATTTTTTAAAGAACCCTCACACTGTTTTCCATAGCAGCTGTACCATTTTACAAAGGTTCCATTTCTCTATATCCTTGTCAACACTTGTTTTCTTTTGTTTTTGTTTCAAATAGCCATCCTTACAGGTATGAGGTGATATTTCATTGTGGTTTTGATTTGCATTTCCCTAATGATTAGTAAAGTTGAGCACTTTTTCATATATCTGTTGGCCATTTGTATGTTTTCTTTGGAGAAATTTCTCTTCAGGGCCTTTGTTCATTTTTAAATTGGGTTATTTATTGATTTTTGCTATTGAATTGTGTCTTCTATACACTTTGGATATTAATTTATCATCAGATATATGGTTTACAGATATTTTCTCCCATTTTATAGGTTGCTTTTTCACTCTGCTATTTCCTTTGCTGTGCAAAGCTTTTCAGTTTAATATCCACCAGCAAAAGAATGAAATTGGACTCTTATACCAAACATAAAATTCAACTCAAAATGGTATACACTTAAACACAGACCTGAAACTGTGAAGCTACTAGAGGAAAACATAGGGAGAAACCTTCTTGACATTGGTCTTGGCAATGATTTCACAGCTATGGCACCAAAAGCACAGGCAACAAAAGCAAAAACACATAAATATTCTTTGTTTCTATGTTACGATGCTTCTTCTCGGTCACTACGTTGGGCACTTTGGCTGCTTGTACTCTACAACGTTCCCAGCAGTGCTTGTGTCGGTCTTTTTACTCACCATTTCTATTCCCTGCAATGCTCTTCCCCTGGATATCTACATGCCATGCTCTCTTATTTTACTAGATGTCTGTTACAATGTTGCTCCTCTGAAGACTTTGCTGATTGCCCAAGCAAAATGACATTCTCTGTCTTTTTTTAAAAAGTCCTCTTAACTTACTTTATATTTTTCCCCCTCAGATCATTTAAGAACCACTAGTGGGACAATCTTTTGTGGGTTTATTTTATTATCTATTTCCCCAACTAGGATATAAGATTCGTGCAGGCAAGGATTTTATTTTATTCGCTTCCAAATAAATCCTCAGTTCTTTGAGCAACCGACACATAGTTAAGTTCAATACAAATTTGCTAAACCAATGAAGGGGTGACCCTTGATGAAGTATTTCTCCTGTTGTTTTAGTTTGGGGTGATTTTTTAAGTCATCTCAAGAAACTTTTCTACTTCCGCATTATGACTCCAATTTTTAGGAAGTTTTAAATTTTTCTAGTTGAAAATGTTGCTAAATAGAATTTGATTCTAAGAAAAATCAAAACCCTTTCCTTTTACCCTGTTTGAAAATAGCAATTAAATTCTAACAAACATAGTAGGCTCCTGATATTCCCTGAAAAAACCTGGAATGGTAGGAAATCTAGTACATTTTATCTTAACTTTCTCATTTTGTTTTATTTATAATAATGGCTCCTATATGTGAACACCACAGCTGCATTTGTATGTGATAGCTGTGTGATGGCTACACTCCATTGCTAGCTACATAGATCTTTTCTTCACACATGTCCTTAATGTTGATTATTCAAATTTGTGTTTAAAAAATTACAAATCCTATGTGGTCTGGACCTTTATGTTTGCTCAAGAATAGCTAATACCTGGAATGTTAAATCTGAGAATGCCATTGATATATTTCAAAATGAGCTTTGTGATCCTGTTTCAAATATTAAAATGTCATGGCTGAAAGCCTCCTTGGAGATCATCCAATTGCATATTTTATAGATGGCAAAAAAAGCACAGAGTAAGGAAGGGACTATGTTTACTAATTAACTTAGAGTCAGTGGACTTAGGTTGCAAATAATAATGTTAAACCAAGGATATCAGTATCTTACGTGAAATGGCTAGCTGTATATAAATAGGCATCTACCAGCAACACAAATCCAATGTAAGAAATAAATAGACTGTCTTCTATTCAATTTTCCACAGAATTTTTTTACTCCTTTGTCACAGATAATTTTAAAATAGCCTTTAAAAACTGAAGAACATTGAAATAAAAAATAATTTATAAATTATTCTCTAATGAGGACAACTTATCCCAGTAAAAATTTAATGAAGAATACTGAATTTTATTTCTCATAAGTAATTCAATTTGCACTTGTTACCTTCACAGATAGAAAGGAGGTGTTGTAGTATTGAGTACTGAAAAAAAAACATGTCTGAAGGATTCTGAAAATCTTTCAAAGTACCAACTATTTCCCTCTCTGAACCCCTCTGTGTATGGGGTACCCAAGTCAATTGGTCACATAATGCTCTGAGGTTGAAGGAGGATTGGTTGTTTTGATGGAATGAGAGCTGAGACTAAAGTTGGCATAACATAGTGCCAAGCAGAGATAACATGCTGGTATCTTCGAGTCAGAGCTCTCAAGTACCATCCTTGCTCTGCCACCAACCAGCACTGTGACCTGAGCAAGTACTCTTCAGTACCACCTACAGTTGTCCATCTCTGAATCAGGGGACTGTACAAGATTAATTCTCCATCTCTAAGAGCCTTCCAGATGATTAGAAATGTTCATCTCCAGGACTCACACTTCATGCATGCAGAGCCTGCTCTAGTGACAATTTCTGAGTTCCTTACCTGGCTAGGTGCTCCACTTCTGAAAGGTTTCCCATCTTCAAGGCTTTGTGGGCAAAAGCAATGACACGGAAGCCTTGCACCGTGTAATTCCTCAGCTCCTGTGGGAAATTCTTGGGCACTGTCAGAGTAGAAGGAACAGGTAAGTGCAAGGTCATGTTGAAGGCTGGTCTAAGCAAGACTCCAGGATGCAGTCATTCTACCTTGTTTTAACTTTCATTCCATAAAAGAGCTTTAATAGAAAACTCAGAGCTTCAGCTGAAGGCCACAAACAACTTCATCGGTGTGTTCTTATTATTCTGATGGAAATAAATGCCAAAGCTGTGCAGGTCATCTACTGTGTTATGAACTGAATATGTCCCTCCAACATTCATATGTTGAAGCCTAATCTCTAATGCAATAGTATTTAGAGGTGAGACCTTTGGGAGGTAATTAGGTCATGAGGGTGGAGCCCTCATGAATGGGATTGATGCCCTAAGGAAACACATCTTTTTCCACCATGTGAGGATACAGCAAGAAGGCAACAATCTGCAAACTAGGAAGAAAGCCCTCTCCAGGAACCACATTGGGCAGCACCTCTGTCCTGGCCTTTCCAGCCCCCAGCACCATGAGGAATAAATTTCTGTTGTTCAAGCACCCATCTATGGTATTTTGTTATAATAGCACAAGCCGACTCAGACAAACTGGGTGTCAAATACACCGAGTAGGTTCAGTAAGAACAGACCTCAGGACTATGAGTACTTGGATAAAATGAGAGAAACAGCTGATCTTCTAGATCAGAGGTCAAAAAACTAGGATGTACAGGCTAAATCTAGTCTACAACTTGTTTTTATCAATGAAGTTTTACTGACACACAGCCGTGCCCATTTGGTTGTTCATTGTCTATGGCTGCTTTGAGGCTTCAGTAACAGTGTTGAGTAATTGAAATGGACACCGTGTGATTTGCAAAGCCTAAAGTAAGAACTATGTGGCTCTTTACAGAAAAGTTTGCCAACTCCTGCTTTAGGTGAAAGATGACACAATGCCAATATTTGTGTGTTTTAGCGTGGCAATCAAAACTATGTTTGTAAGATCTTTATGATTTATGATGCACCTATAAGGGTATCAGATGGAACCACAGAACAATGGAAGGTGCAGTAGCTTAGGTGGCAAACCGACTAAGTTCTATTCTCCATTCCACTTCCACGTGGACCTTAGTCATGTTAAGTCTCTCTTCTGCACCTCAGTTTCTCATCCATAAAATGAGAAGGTTTCCAGATCTCTCTGTCTCCATTCGTTTCAGACTTTCTGTAATTCTAAAATACTCCTGGAGGTCGGAATCTAATTTCAAGAAAGTTCTTAGCTTGCTATTTCTAAAAATGGGGTAGGGTGGTGGTGGAAATCACTGAAGACGGTATTAGCTTAAGTCCAAGATCGGAAGTTGGGACCACAGGAAGACTTGAAAGAGCTGCCAGAATAATGAGTGCCAAGTGACAGACCCAAATCCTTACTGAGAGAGCAGAGGCAATAGATACCAGTTTAAATGTCAAGAAGATGCTCAATTGTAGCCGCGTACCTGAAACAAAACAAACACAGTATATGTGGTAATCAGTGAAGGACAGAGTCAATGAGAGCTATGCTGAAGATCAAAGTCAGAAGAAAAGGGGCTACTTCTAAGGGTTAAAAAAAGACTCCTAGTAGAGAAGTTAATCATTTGCCAAATCTAGAATTCTCTGCACAAGTTGATGGCCATCAGCAATCATAAGGAAAGTCACATGAAAATCAGAAGAGAAAAGACCAATTTTATCCAAATGAACTCATTTGAATGCAACCATATTCTTAAAAACCTGGCTGCCGCTTAAAGAGTGCATATGTTTATAAGACTAAAAAGCAATAAAAATCAGCTCAAAATCTGGCCCAGAAAGATGAAATTGCTGTGAAAATGATTAATTATCTTGCTCGAATACCATCGAATTTACTCTAATCACCTTTATTTCTAAGATACTTGTCTTTTCTATATTCTTCCCCCATCCATCTATCTGATCCTCCCTGGAGGTGAGAGTAGCCATATCTGCAGAACGTACCTAGCTCGAGTCCTCTCGCTTCGTTTCCCTCATTTACACCTCCCCTAGTTCTCTGGCCCTCAGTAGCTCCCTATTCTGGCTCCTGATGCAAGCTTCACATCTCTTCTCCTTCCCAGATGCCCCATTGTAGTTGTACTTTTTTTTACTGCACCCATTACCGGATATTTACTTGCTACCTCCCGCCTTGAAAGTCTCGCCTCTGCTTACTAGGATCTGCTGGGCCTACTTTCTACCCACCCAGGAAACAAGCAGCTCCACATTCATTGATTGCAAAGCTTTCCGTGTTTATTGGCTTTATGTATTTGGTCTTGGCTGACCGCGATGGCTCCCACCTGTAATCCCAGCAGTTTGGGGGGCTGAGGTAGGTGGATCACTTGAGACCAGAGTTTGAGACCAGACTGACCAACATGGTGAAATACAAAAATTAGCCGGGCATGGTGGTGTGCTCCTGTAATCCCAGCTACTTGGGAGGCTGAGGCAGGAGATTCACTTGAACCCAGGAGGTAGAGAATACAGTTAGCTGAGATCATGCCACTGCATTCCAGCCTCAGGGACAGAGCAAGACTGTCTCAAAAAAAAAAAAAAAGGATTTTACTTATTGAAAAAGGTAAGTGTCACTTAGTACCTGTTTCAGATCTGCAGAATCTGGCCACCATTTCTGGGGCACCCTTCATGTAGACGTGGAAGTGGTCTTCTCCAGCTAGCTGAGCAATCACGGACATCCTCTGCAGGCTTGAGGAAAATGGAAACTGGCGCAAGGTGGTGATGGCTTCTATCGGACTCTGCAAGCCCATCAACAACAGGGAGCTTAACAGGCTGCTAAGTGATATTTTCAAATGCATACCAACAAAAACTTACTGTGCAGCGAGCCCAGGGATATCTTGATGTAGTGTATTTGTCACTTTATTTATTTGCTGCCTTAAAGCGACTCCCTCAAAAAGTTGTCTGGTCTGCAAGGACCTTCCCCTAGAGAAATCCTAATCACCGTTCAGGACAAGCTCACAGGTCATCTCCTCTGTAGTGTTTTTACCTCCCAGAAACAGTATTCCCTCCCATGTCAGGACTCTTGAAGGCCTTCCTTCAGCCTTGATTATAGAATTTGGCACATTGTGTTGCACTTATTTGCACCTGTATTGATTTTTCTACCAGTCTGTGTGTTCCTCTAATCCAGAGCCAAGTGTGTCTTGTTTTGAAACCTCTTTATCTGCTAGTACATAGCACGATACTCTAGCATACACAGGTTGTGTTTGCTGAATAAATTAATAGATAAGTTCAGGAATGAAAGAAAGAGCAAACCAACCATGGAAAGTGTTGGGATAAGACAAAATAATAGGACTATGAAAGCTATGTGAAAGTCAGAAATGTTTCACCAGTTTTATGCAGAACGAGCTATATGATTTAAAGAAGGAAATAATACCTTACTGGCTTTTGGTCCTGGTTTTATGATGTTTGAATTTGACATCCCAAATTTGCAGGAGTCCATGTTGCAATCTTCCATTTTCTGTATAAAATGAAAACATTGATAAGATTCTTTGAAGAAAAATAGTATGAAAGGAATACCTCTTATATGCACAATAATCTTTTCAAAGCCCTTTTTTAACATATTTTCTCTTCCAGCCCAATTATCTTAATATTGTCATTGTCAAATTTCTGTTGTGTCGATTCATATTAAGGGCCTTATTCTAGAATGAAAAAAGCCAAAAATGTGTGAATTCATTTTAAGAAGTAATTGATGGAAGAAGTGCTAGCTACAGGTCCGTGGATCTTTCTAAATGATTACATCTAGTAACTGGAGGGGGGATTATGTGGAGCTGTGTTCTCCAATGTTGCTGAACACCATGGCTCTCAGATGAGTTGGGACTGGGTCCTGAGACAAACATGAGACTAGGTCTTCATACTATACCTATGCTGCTAGCTTACTTGAGTTAACTAGGAAGTTAGAATGCTCGCTGCTAGCAAATTAGAAAGCCTGTTTGAAAATGGCTTGAATTCTTTTGATATTACAACAGAAGTTAATACCTCCGAGAAGCCAATATTAACCAATATTAAAATATGGGAAAGACAGTCCATGCATAGAAATAGTAGAGGTCAGGAAACAGGAGATAGTCTGTTTCCACTCTGCCACTTACCTGTTTCATCTTGGGGACATCATTTCATTTTTCTAGTCTCAATTTCTTCTGAAAAATATTCTGACATTCCTTCAAATGCTAAAATTCTTGACAGTCTAACAGGACAGTTTCCCTTCTCTGTATGTGGATTGGAAGTTTCCCAGTTACCAAAAGATATTCAGCTCAAGACAGTTTCTGACTCAGCTCTAAACTCAGTGAATAATCCTGCATTTTATGCTTTGTTTAGGATGGATATAACCATTTTTACAGACAGTTCTTTCAGAGCTAACACTAAAGATTTATATTTCCAAACAAGTATGTTATTTGTAAAGATAGATCAACCTTCCTATAATGGAGAGGGGGATGTAGTTAGGTCCAGGACTAAAGCCAGATATAAAATGATCTTGTGCAACTCATCACTGTGTCAGTCCCAGTGATTCTGGCAAGGACACTGCTTACAGTAAGTACACTGATTCCTCTCCATTAAAATTCAGGGAATTGGTCACTATGTCAAAATATTTTCCACAGCAAATGCTCTATCTTAACTTACTGATATCAGAGGTTTCCCTTTTTACGAGGTTTCCTCTTTCATTGATTTACCTGCTAGAAAATTAAAATTTCTTTATTATATATCTTTGTATTAGCTTCTTCGTTAGGTGTGCTTTGTTTCCCTGCAATCATTTGTTTCCATTCTTTTGCGGCAATGTTTAACTGCTGTACTGTCATTTATACAGCATTGTCCATAGCTTCAGGATGTTCTTTGGAGGGCAGCAGGATGCAATTAACTAACTGGTTAATGAGTGAACACCCTCTACCTGTTTGGCCCTTCATTGTGCTCAAAGACGCTTTAGTCTCATAGTTTCAGTGCTCACAAGTTTGTGAATGAGGCATTATTACCCCTAATGTACGGATGAGGTCACAGACTCAGGCTTCGCTCTGGCTTTGTGATCACACAGCTGGAGAGTGGTGAAATGAAGTTTTCCACGATAGCAGCCTCCAGTATGGGCCTATATCCTTCCGCTTTCATTCACACTCAGCTCAGGAGATGGAACCAGTTGGAATGCAGCCCTCCAGTTTGGTATCTAGCTTGTGCTTTACAATATACAGTTGCCACCAGCCACTTGTGGCTATTTGAATTTAAATTACTTAAAATTAAATAAGATTAAAAATGCAGTTTCTCAGTTGCATAGCCACACTTCAAGGGCTCAGTAGCTACATATGGCTCGTGGCCGCTGTACTGGAGAGCACCGTTTCAGGCTACTGTTTCTCTGATAGTGTTTTGGAAAACAATGATGTTTTGGAGAACATGCTAGGTTATGGGTGTCAATAAGGTTTTTGAGGTCCGATAGGTTTGGAAAATGCTGCATTTCATATCCCCTCTTGAATATCCACAAAGGATCACAGTATATTAAAGAAATCATGCAGTCAAGAAATGAGTTTAACTTTGTTTAAACAACAGTTCCCAAGTTTGTTCAATAATGGATGCCTATTTCATGTTGCACCCATTAACAGAATTCTTTGGGGCAGAGGTTGGGAAATTCTGGTAGCATTACACACTCATTCTACGTTATTATGAATCTTCTCCATGTTTTAACAAAAATTAGAAAAGCTTCAGCATTCCCAGTAAAGATTTCTTCAAGTTCTCATCATTGCATTAAACTATCACCTTACCCAGGCAGTGCCCTCAAACATTTTGAGGTCCAGAGGGTCTCCCTGGATGGTCCCATCGACGAGAACCAGAGAGTGGCAGCTGGCCATAGACGCACACAGTGGGCCCCATGGCAAAGCCTGGCCCAAGGCAAAGCTGTGGGCTTCCTGGAAGCTGGTAGAGAAGGTAACATTAAAGTCTTTGATAAAATCATTTTGCATACCCTGTCTCTTAAATCTTACTAAAGTAGAGCTCCAAACACTTAATGTTCATGCTCAGAACCTTCCCATGGCTTCCCATGCTCCATATGGTAAAGTCCAAGCCCCTTAGCCTGGTATTCAAAGTCCTGTCCACTTCGGATCTACCTTACCTTACAGTGCCCACTCCTACTAACGTCCTTTATACCCTGGACTCTAGATCCAGATTAAACTTCTTGCTGTTGCTATGCTTGTCCAGGGACTTCCCTGCGCTTAAGCCCCTACCCACTTGGTTTCATTATTTTTTAAACAGGGTGTTGTGCCTACAGAGTGATCTTTGTAAAAACATTTCTTTGAGTTGGATATGAATTTTCTTCTCAACAGAGTTTGCCACTAGCCAATCAATAACAGTTTCCGAGGCTTTGGATAGAATTGCCGGGACTTTTGTCATGCACTTTTGAAGTCAGCCCACATATTGGCAGTATTGTAGGAAGGCACATCAACAGGCAGCTCAGAGTCATACCTGAAAACTCTGCAGAGCTGTCCACAAAAAGTCATGCACCCTCGGCAAGAATTCTCTAGGGCTACTTAGGGAGCAGGAAATTAGGCTGCATGGATGTGGAAGCATTTCTCCTACTCATCACTTTAGAGATTGCCCCTACTTCATGAAGCACCCTGGACATACCACCTCTAAAGCCTCTTTTTCTCTTTGATAATACAAACTGGCGTAGTGCATCTTCCTCTCCTCCCACCTTACAGCTAAATAGTGATTGTGTCATTGTTCCTGCCCTCCAAAAAGCTTCAGAGTACCAGGGACAAGGGAGGATGATGGAGGGGTGGGAACTGTGGACATCTTTTTTCTCTTTCACTACTCTGGCCAATAGATTCCTTGTCTGTCTGGACCAAGGGCTGGATGGACATCTGAGCAGCCAGAAGCAGAGACACATGAGTAGGGTTAGAGCTCAGGTGTTCTTTGCCACCCAGTGCAGGGTACCTTCTGCAACATCACACTGCTTGTCCGCTGTTAGCTTGTGACATGCTGTACCTGCCCCCTTCATCATCTTGAGCATCCCCTGAAAAGTGTCTTCTGTCACTGATGGCTGCCTCAGCCACTGTTGGAGCCAAAATGAGGTACCCATGGCTTAAGAACAGAGGCCATCACCACTCAAATTGAGAAGGCAGGTCTTAGCCCATACAGAAGGAGCTAGAAGTCAGAGGTAGATACCATGAGGAGATCCACCCTCCAGGGGCCCTCCTTCTCCTCTCTAGCTCTTTCTGGAGTAGATATCTATGTCCTCTCCTCCCTAGTGCCAGCTTTTAGCCCACAGCTTTAAAAATTCTAGCCGCACGTCCCTCAAAATTTATCTGAAGTGCCATGTCCTTCAGGTAGCTTTCTTTGATTCACCAAACTTCAAAATTGATTTGTCTTTACCCACCATGTTATTACATAAAAGTCAGGACTATGTGTTATATCAAACAGTCTCTATTTCTCCTCCATTCTGACATTTCTGCCTTAATAGTAACAACTTTTATGGCCTGTGTTGTACATCAGAGGTGGGCATATTTGCACCTTTTTTTTTGAGTTGTGCTTTAGGTTCTGGGGTACATGTACAGATCATGCAGGATTGTTGCATAGGTACACACATGGCAATGGTATTTGCACCTTTTTATCCCACTAGGCTGTGAACCACATTTCCAGATTTCTCACCACACCAGCCTGCACTAGCCACCCAGGAAGTCTTGGTAGCTTTTAATTAAGCATGGTCTTCATTTCACTCTTCTTTCTCTGTCTCATTTAGTTCCTTAATTATCCACCTCATCCTATTCCATTTTTCATGTAGATTTTGAAGACCTACTTTCCCTGTCTGATTCTGAAATTAGAATTCATTTAATTAAACAAATTAGATATTACAAACTAGTTCCACCCAATTAGTATATATATTTTATGGGACATTCATCCATTAACACCCAAAAGATGGATTTGAGTATCATCCAGGTGACTCCACCAAACACACATTCCATCTTCACATAAGAGGCCTACCAGTTGCCAGCAGTAGGGACAGTCCCCCAGAGGTCCAGCCCATCTTCAGTGAGAGTGCCAGTCTGAATAAAAATTGAAATCAATATTAGCATAAGATGTAAACCTTTTAATTATATTGTAATTTAGGCAAAACCCAAGCTTTTAAGAGATCATAGTAGATCCAGTAGTCTAAATACCTTGTTTGTAAGTACCAAATTTAAAATCAAAGATGAGTACCTACGAGAAGAACTAAGCAGGTGATACATGATCCCCAAAAGACCATGTCGATAATTAGGTGATTTCAGTTACTAATTATGAGGAAAAAAATGCAAGTGTTTTGTTTTGGTTCGTTTATTGCTATGACTTGCTGCTGTTAATCGGGAGAGGTTCAGTACAAGAACCAGCTCAAGTCTGACTTTTAGTTGGCACCTGCTGTCTTGCCAAAGCAGAGCTCAGAAATTCTTTTTTCTTTATTTTCAAGACTGTTCAATTCACAGTTTGCCATCTGGTTCACAGTAATTTTCTAAAAATATGGGTGACACAGTGATTGTCCAGATTGATAATGAAATGTTGATAAAGGACTTTGAGACTATAGAGATAAATTAAGTGCCAATAATAAATATTAATTAATGCCCACAAATGGATTTTATTGTTAGATCAAGGGAAAAATAGCTCAGAGATTTGATTTGCCATACTATGGGAGAGTATTTGTCAGATAATGTAACAGAGAAAGAATGATGGAACTGAGTACTATCACAGCACTTTTAATTTCCTCACTGCTTCACACGCATTCATTAATTACAGACTCTGGTGTCTTGATGCAGCAGGCTAACAGTTTTAGGCCCGATTAACACCCAGAGTAAGTGGAGTTGGCTACAGCTGCTTCAGCACTGCCAGGGCAAACCTGAGCTTTACCAAGCATGGCAGAATACCCTGTTTCTACACTAAAACCCAAGTTTCTGACACTACTTTTTAAGGCTATCTCTATGAAAGATGCTGAATTTCCTAGTTTTCTATCAAATGGCATCCTCCATCATTACAGCACTTCCATTAGCATGATGCCTTACTGCGAAGTGTTTACAGTGCTTTCCGTTTTCACAACTGAGTTAACAGGTTGGAGGCAGGTTAGAGGTGAAATGAGGAGCCTGACGTCATAGTGGCCTGCGGGTTGGAAAGGCAGAACCAGAATCCGGCCCTTCTGGAGTCTTCCGCCAAACTAGAAAACGTTAAGTGAATCATACACAGTATGTGGAAAGACAAAGTTCTTTCTGGGTTTCTAGTTTAAAGAATTAAGAAATCTCCATTTCATTCATCTATTTGAACCTCACAAAGAAGGCACGAACACACGAGTGAATTATTTCTTAAATAACAACTTTTTGAAAACCAGCTCTTTGTTTCATTTCCCTTCTGCACTTTATAAAGGACCCCACCAAGTTTGGTTTCCAAATCCCCTCGAGTTGTTGCATTTCACAAGAGTTTGCAACTTAATTCAAATTGAAATGTTTTCCTGATGATGTTTTTAAACATCAATCTTTTGAACATGGAAACAGAGATGATACTGCAGCAACAAAGAAATTAGACCATGTTATTTCTCAATGAAAATAACCCCTAAACAATAAAACTTACCCAAAATAGAGAGAAAACAAAATTATAGTTGAGGTTCTAAGGGGAATAAGATAGAAAGAGAAAATCTCTTAGCATAAATACAAGCTCAAGCTTGGGCTAAATTGAATGAAAAGAAAGAACTTGTCTTACAGACATTATAACAAACCAATAGAAAACAGAAATATATATGGGAACAAAGGTACTCAGAAACCCAGTGATAGATATCTCTGAAACTGAAAATAACACTAGATGAAAATTCAATTAATGGCAGAGTGTTTTATTCCAACTTGATGGTGATAGAATTTTATAATGTGAAAGCTGGAAAGAAACTCAGAGATGATTGTGGTTGAATCTTCTTTTCTTAAAAAGTCACACAGAAACTCAGTGCCAAATTCTGGGTTAGACTTCTCATTTTGCCAATTTTCAACCGAGTTTTTTGCACTGTCACATGTCATCGTATCCTGCAGAGTTTGACCAAGGACACCTAAAAGCAGCCTCTCAGATATCCTGGCAGATGAGGACATAAGGAAGTGGAGGGAGAGGTTTTATACAGGAAATAAAATGAATAGCCTGGGGGAAAATTCATTTTAGAAACAAACAGGCCAGGCACAGTGGTTCACGCCTGTAATCCCAGCACTTTGGGAGACTGAGGTGGGCAGATCACCTGAGGTAGGGAGTTTGAGACCAACCTGACCAACATGGAGAAACCCCGTCTCTACTAAAAAATACAAAATTAGCCAGGCATGGTGGCATATGCCTGTAATCCCAGCTACTCAGGAGGCTGAGGCAGGAGAATCGCTTGAACCCAGGAGGCAGAGGTTGTGGTGAACTGAAATCATGCCATTGCACTCCAGCCTGGGCAACAAGAGCAAAACTCTGTCTCAAAATAAATAAACAAATAAGAAACAGAAAAAAGAAACACGAATATGTAATGAACATATTTCATAAATCTCCCTCCTGTATTCTACACACCAGTGAGGCTCATGAGGAAGTAACAGGCATCCCTATTATTAGAGAATGTTCCAAGGGGGTGTTATATGACTCTGAATCTAAAATGAAGTTAACCTTGTTAGTTCTTGACTGGTGGTGAGAACTTTCTTTGCCAAACAAAACACAAACAGAAAGAGAACTGACATAATCTAAAAGCTATACCCCCTTCACCTGGGGACCAAGCCTGGTCGAGTCTACTCATTGGTGTCCCTCCCATTTGTCCTCTACTCTCCATTCTTGTCCTTATTGTCTGAGACAAACAATGATCTCTTCTGTTGTCCCCAGATGGCCTCTTTCTTCAGTCCCATTTCCCTTCCATCCCTTCTCATCAGTTGCCCTTGGTGGGATATAAAACACCTATAAAAATGTCACTAGTCTTAAAATATAAGGGCCCCTATGCTGCTTCAAGACAAGGACCCACTCCTTAGCTTGGCATATGAAGCCCTTAATAATTGCCCTCACCCCAACTTCATTCTCCACCTACCGGCCCATATGCTAGCCATACCCCACAGTCGTCTGCTCCCTGTATGCCATGGGACACTTCTACCCCTGTGCTTCTCAGCTGCTCACCTCTGAGCCCAGGGCTTATTCTAACAACCAAGGCTACAGCTCAAAGGTGGCCTCCAACCTGTGGCAGGTAACTGTGCCCCATGCTTTCCTTAGATCTCTATTAAACATACAACTCACAGCATGATCACCATCTACACTCCCATTTTCCCACTTCTCAGTTAGACTGGAAGCTTCTCAAGGGCTAGGAATGACTCATTATGGGTCTCTCTACCAGCACTGTACACAGCAGTGGCTCTCTGCCAAAAAATGGCAAAAGCCCTAATAAATTATTTAAATGCATGTGAACTGAAGACAAGAGGGACCCAGCCAGGCTCATTGCTTTACAGCAGCTAAACTGGCCTGTCCAAGCTGACGGCAGGATCTGTTTACAGCAGGCATCTGATGCTGAAGTCCTCCAGATACCCCATAGGAGAGTCATGTCAGGGGGGTGGGTCTCAGGACCTGCTTGATGACAGCAGTCTTCCCCATGTGGCATATGCACCTCCTCTGCCACCTTTCCAGGTCCCTAAGCACAGAAACAACCTAGCCTGGAGTCATAAGCCCTGGAGGAGCAAAGGGGCAGGAGTGTATAGACAGCGTCATTGTTTTCTTCCTTCCTTTCCTTAAAAGAAGCAGAGGAGGAGAGAGGAAAAACATTCACTGATGTTCTGGATGAAGCACTTCAGGAAACAGAAATGTTCCTCACATTTTTTGCCTGAAAAGGCCAGTCAGTCATAGAAGTTACTATAGTAAGAGATGAAAAAAAAAAAAAAAAAAACTACAAACCAGGCACACAAATTATTAAATTTCACAGAAGAAAAAATTCATGATGTGGTGGCTAAGCTGCTATTAAGAGGTAAGCAAAGCAGCCTTCTAGAATGTGATCTTGCACTAGCTCACTCTGTGACCTTCTCTGGCCTCAACATTCCCATCAGTAAAACGGGAACACTGGACTAGACATTTTCTGAGACTCTTCCCAGCTCCACTCTGCCTTGAAATCATTAACCTTAAACCTGGGAAGTCTGGATCATACTTTGTCAAAGCACACGAGGTTTATTTGCCCACACATGTTGATTCTCTGTGGGGAGATACAGAAGATTTTCTCTTTCTTCAGTCTCTTCTGAGCATACACGATGCCTATGGTCAGGGCAGCTGGCAGCACTGGAGGGACAGTCACGGTAAGGAGAATCAGGGCCATGGTCACAGTGTCTTTTGGAGGGATCTGGGAGAGGAGAGACATTTATACAGGTTAGCCGGGCACAGCAGGTTGGCACCCTTCCTAGAACCTTTCTCCTGCAATACCGCAGGAGCTCTAGAGATCCATGTTCCAAATATTAATAGTGAGTTGGCTCTCTTGGTGAGGTCAAGTATTCTCTTGACTGTGCCAAAGGAATGAGCATGTTGTCTCCTAACTTCTGGTTTATGAATCTCTCTCCCTCACTAGGCTACAAACTCCTTGGGGTGCGGCAGCTACAGCTTGCTCATCTTTGGATCTCCCTTACTGATCTCTAGATACAGAGCCTAGCATGGGATTTAGCACAGAGGGGGTGCTCAGTACATAGATTGAATGAATGGCAATATGATTAAAAACTAGGACCAAGATCCTGCCAAGATCTCAGCATATATTATTAACTACTGGGAAGCCAATACTAAAATTAGCTTGCTCTCGCTGGATACTAACTCTGGAGCAGACATTGTATTAGGCTACATATATTATTTACTTGCTTTCTGTAACAACCTTATGATGTAAATACTACTATTTTCTCCATTTAACAGGTAAGGAAACTGAGGCTTTAACAAGTGAATAACTTTCCCAAGGCCACATACTAGGTACATGACAAAAACCTGAACCCTAGTCTGTCTGATTCCAGGGTACAAAGCCATGACCAGTATGTTTTATTATAAAGTCAATCTTTGTGAACTCAGGATGCCTGGCAGGTGCCATGGTGTGGCTGTGTTCGACCCAAATCTCATCTTTAATTGTAGCTCCCATAATTCTCACGTGTTGTGAGAGGGACCCAGTGGGAGGTAATTGAATAATGGGGCAGGTCTTTCCTGTGCTGTTCTCATGATAGTGAACAAGTCTCATGAGATCTGATGGTTTTATAAAGGGGAGTTCCTCTACACAAGCTCTCTTGCCTGCCGCCATGTAAGACATGACTTTGGTCTTCATTCACTCTCACCATGATTGTGAGCCCTCCCCAGCCATGTGGAACTGTGAGTCAATTAAACCTCTTTCCTTTATAAATTACCCAGTCTCAGGTATGTCTTTATCAGCAGCATGAGAATAGACTAATGCAGCAGGTCTGTAGAGGAGGCTGACTCAGTTAAGGTCAGGGATGAGGTCAAATCACAGGGTTGATTGTTTTGTTTTCCTCACATGTTCTAGATATTAATTGTTCTACCCTCTACAACCTTGCCTGTGTTTTTGTTAAATTAACCATCATTTTAGCCATAACTACTTTTTTGAGTATTGGAAACGTGGGATTCAAGTTCAGTAGCAATGTCCACTGGGGACATCTTTTGCCCAATCTTAATTTATCACAAAATTCATTACTCCCTTCTTTCCCCAACCACAGACACAGAAGAGTTTTCACCCTAAGGACCCAGTCTTGTCTAATGCTGAGCCAGTGCAGATAGAGACAGCCATCAGAGTCACAGGTTCTGACCCACAAGATGGGGTCTGGGATTGTTAGTCTTGTTGCCTCAGTGTGTATTGAATGTTAAGTTCTTCCCAGGAAACCTCCTTCTCAAATACTGCCAGGGCTTCCATGAGCCCTTTTCCTGCTTTTCTGCTCAGTGCTCCTGCTCCTCAGATTAAATTGGCATACTCCCTCAAATTCCAGCCCCAGTGACCTTGACATTCTGCCTAACTCTCACAGGCCCCATTGTGGGCCTCCCTTGACCTAGAAATGCTCCCTGGGTGCTATTTCAGATTGAAATAACTACTCAGCAGTTAAGTTTTAGCATGAACATTGCCTTGAAATTCTTGTGACTATGTCTTTGCCTGCCAATATTCACTCCCCACCTCTCTCTCTATCTCCCTTTCCCCCCCCCCCCCACACACACACATTGATGCCACCAATTTGGACATTGTAATTAGGCCACTCACAGCTTTTCACCTGTTTGGATGTTTTATTCACAATTCTCTTTTCCTCCCTACCAGCTCATACTATTATGATCCCAGCATTTCTTATATAGAGACTCCATGGTTCACAACCAAATCAGACTCTCAGGACCAGAAAGGACCTCAGAGGTCTTTAGTGACAACCCTTCCCTCCCAAGCCACCATTCTATGGTGAGAGACATCCAAATGAAACCTGACACTCTGTAGCTTAAAGAGGAGTAGATATCTCGTGAGGTACCAGCTCTGTAAAAGTAGAAAATTGATTTCATTTCAGACCCTAACCAGAACACATGGGAAACCCACTGGTTGCATGGTGTTTTAGGTATTACCTAAACACTGGGGGCAAACTAGGCATGAGAATATTTCTGCTGTCTAAGAAAGCTCTCTTGGCCAATAATGATTTGTAGAATGATAGGATCAAGACATAACCTAATCCAACCTTCTGAGTTAGGTCAGGCTCTTCGCAGAAGCTATACTATTGAAGAGCCTTACCCCAGTACTTACTCCATGGTACGTATACACCCCTAGGGCATAGAAAAAACCCATGACACCAAGGCAGGCCAGGAACACCATGAACTTGAAGGCATCGCTGTATAGTTTGAAGTTCAAAGGCCGAGGGTAGAGGATGGATCTCACTAAGTCCCCTTTGGCTGTATTGTAACCTGCATGAAGATAGTCACAGATCAAGTAAGGCTGCTTGATGGACACTTGGTCTCCTAAAAATGGCTTTACTGTCTTTGAGGCAAAGAGTAGAGTTTTCTCTAACCTGCTACCTAATCATTTCATGAGTATTCAGGTGGTTTTCGTGATTTGTAACCATGAGCTTCCATGCAGACAACAGGCTCTAATGTCTAGTGCCTGCTAACTAGTTTGAACATTTAAAAAAGCTTGATATTTTTAATTTTGAAAAATCATCTAGAGCAACCAAATCATAAACCAAAGTAAAGCATACAGACATCACTGTGTAAAGTGTATTTTGCATCTGTGAATAAGTCAGATGGCAGAAACACAGCTCAGGGGTTAGAACAGAGAGCTGGGACCAGGTCATAGAAGGCCTTCATTGTGTTATGTCATGTAAAAGACTGGGACTCAGGAGGTGTTTGCAGAATCATCCAGATTTGGTGCCACATTTGGTATGGGAAAATGAGAGGAGTTAGAGATGTTATTAAGAGACCAGCATGATGGTGATGTCGTTAACAGAGAAAGTCAATACAGGAGGATGAGTACTTTCAAATTCATTGTCTGTAGGACACCCAGGTAGAGTTCTTCACTAGTGAGTTTGACATACAGCCTAGCAAGCAACTCTTTGAAAGGAAAAATTCCTCATAATCATAGTGGCTGAATTTTTTTTCTTTTTGTAATCATTCAGAGGAGGTGTCAAGGGAGGCAGAAGAAGCATATGGTCATAAGCAAAAATAAGAGTATAGTTTTACCTTTGACAAATTTTACTTCACCTACGCATACTCTTCATCACATAGAAGAGTTTTAACAATAAACCATTCAGTTAAAAATAATGACACTTTAGAATAATAAGTGTCTGTTTAGAAAAAAATGTTCTGTTACTACCAGAATGTGGCAAACTCCAAAATCCTAAACAAAATTTTCCTAATCCAACTCTCCACATGTTCAAGCATGAATTAAACTTACAAAAATGGAATCCACTAACCTGTTTGCAAAACGACTGCTCTTACAGGTCCCTGCCCAGAGGACTTGATCTGGATAACTTCTGTTCCACAGAAGAGGACATGTCTCCGATAATCCTCCAAGCTGTGACATTTCCAAGGCACAGTATTCTCCATTTGGGGCAATGGTGTCTTTGTAACAGGTATACTTTCTCCTGAAGAGGATTGTATTTTGTTGAATCTGTGTCAGCTCAGGTAGTTAGTTAGAACTGGTGCATGCTAGTTTCAAGAAATTATACAAACTGCAACTCATCCGGTGTTAGTGCCCGTCCCATGAGTCAGATGACTGTTCACAGAGATGCCAGTGGTGCAAGCAATGGTAGACTTGATTCTAGTGCAAAGATTTAGGTAAGACCTGCCTATCTAACCTATACCTGGCCTGGATCATTTGTTGACATAATTTTGAAAGCAGCCTATTTTAGCTGAATTATCACTTAATCATTCTTCCAAGTATTAATTAAACCCAGCACTATTTTAGGCAATGAAGGAGCTTTCCAGCACATGAATAGTAATTACTGTTTGTTTTGCATTCACTCATGTATTCATTTGTTCACTCATTCACACATTCATTCAACTATTTTTAGGTGCTTATTCTGTTCCAGGAACTGTGCTAGGTTCTAGGAATAGAATGAACAACCAGAGAGACAGAACTCTTGCCCTCATAAGCTCACGGAGGAAGGTGAAAAAACAGTAGTTACTCCACATCATTTTCTGATGGAGCCCATTCAAGCCCCACTTTGATCATCCCATTCTTTTGCTCAAAATCCTTAGGCTTTTCCATTGCCACTACTGAATAAAGGCCAAAGTCTACTGCTAGATTGTCAAAGCCTACCACAATTCAAGCATCATTGCCTGTCATTCTCCTACACAAGCTCCAGCTCAACTAGGCCTCTTGCATTTCCTTTTATTGACTCCCATTCTTTGTAGGTAGCATTTTTTTTTCCTTTCCCAGTTGGCTGTAAGACAGAATATTTAAGGTACAAAGAAATTAGCTCAGAGTTCAAAACGGATACATTTCAGAGACAAAATAAAAATGTTAATAATACTTTTTTGCTCTCAGGTTTAAAGAGTAATAGAATAAATTTAAAATTCCATCAGTCTTTTACTAAATGTTCAATTAGCAAGATAATGTGTCATATTTCTAATTTGGAAATGGTATTATATAAATCATAGTTATACCAGTGTAGGTCTCATCTTTCTAGCTAATAACTGGAAACAAGAACTTTGGCATATATAAATTTGTATACTCTTCATTTTTCCTAGTGACATGTAATAGGTTTCAAAATACATGTTTTTTTTCAAATACACAGATGAATTAAATAAAAACACCCAAGTTTTTCTATGATTGGTTTTCAAAACTCATTTTCTGCCATGATGTATTTTTACATGCTCAAGTGCAAGACGGTGTAAAATTGTTATAAGCGATCTTGAATATTTTTCAAGAAATTCTTTTAGCCAAGCTGTTGTTCCTATACCACTTTCTTTAAAATGATTATGGCCTTCACCCATTGTGTAGATTTATCAATTACATTCTAAATGGCTTCATAGAAGGGTTAGAACGTTTTGACAGTCTCCAAATCATGGTACCATACTGTTTTGAAATCTGCCTTTGTAAAAGGCAGACACTTCGAGATCATCTCCCCCCTTTCTTTTTTGCTTTTGAATCACAGAATATTAACCCAAAATATATATTTAAACTAACATCGGCAAACCATTTTCTGCACACAGAACCAATGAAATTGGAAGCAGTCAGATATTGATCAATCAGAAATGGAAGTCACTTGCGGTTAATTTGTTCCAGAGATAACAGTCAGATGATTTTAGAGAGATGGTTTTCAAGCCTCTTTTATGCTATTTGCATATTAATAAGAAATCTCATATTTTGGCCTTTCTTTGGAGCCCAAGAAAGGATGATTCATCTACAAAAGACATGGAGTCCAAGGCAGCTGGAGAGAGTTTTAGAGGACAGAACCATCGTCGTTCATCATCAACTGTACAGTTGGCTCCCCGTGCTGTCAAATGGAGGTTCTCTCCCTTGGCCGCAGGATCAAGATGCCTCCTCATGGTGACAGTGTTTGAAATTCCAAGTCCTTTTACTTTATAGTTCTAGAACCATTAGACTGTAAATGTTTTGAGACTAGGGACCATTTCACATTTAACTTAGTGACACCAGTATGCAATACAGTGCCTGGCACATAGTAGGCATTTCTGAACTTTTCTTGAATAAATGGGTAAACAAATAAGTAAAAGAAAAGGGAGAAGGAGGATGATAAAAAGAGAGGAAGAAAGACTCAAAGGAAGAGAGAAAAAGATCTGACCTATCAACTGATGATAAACTTGTCTGACAGGATATCAACGTGAGATCATCACTTGGAGAAATCCCTGCACGTCCAGCTCGGGTCACTGCACACTTCCGCCACGTACATCTCAAATAAATCAGTAACTTAATGAAGAGAAGAAGAAGGAAGGGGATGTGGCAGAGTGTATGCCACCCCTCTTTGCCGTAATTATCCCTAAGAGAATGAGGAAACACTGGCTACAAGTATAGGTGGGACAAAATGCCTGGATTTAGGTATTATATTTATTTAGTAAGGCAATAGATATCTTCCATTTTCTTCCTAGAGCTTATAACTGTTGAAAAGTTGTGTCATTTGTATGTTTTCATGTTTTCTGTCCCCTCACTAGAATATCAGCTCCACAAGGGAAGAAATCTTAACTACCTTGTTCAGTGCTATGTCACCAGTAGAATTCCTGCTCCATAGTAGGGGCTAATAAATATCTGTAGAATGAGTGAATTCACAAACAAATCTAAATCTTAGCTGTACCATTTAAGCTATGTGACCTTAGGCAAATTACTTACCCTTTCTGGGCCTCAGATTTGCCCTCTCTAATACATTTGCAGATTGAATGAAATAGTAGACGTAAAATGTTAGCACAATGCCTAATACATACAAGAACTAAGAAAAAAAGCTTTAGTGCCAAGAGATAATTTCTAAATAGTATTAGATCTCCCCCAATGATATTCTCTTTTGTCTCCTGACTCCTCTCATTTGGGAGAAGCTAGGTCTTGAAAGTGATCATTGTTTCAGGAAAGATGGCAGAATAGAAGCACAGGGGAGTTGATCACTGGCTTTTGAGTTTAAAAAGCCCTTCATGAGTTTGTTCATGGATTGTAGAGACTATCTGAGAGTAAGCACAAAGTTTTTCTGCTCACCATGCCTTTCCTCTACTGCATTTCTAGCTAAATTAAAGTCCTTATACTGGGAGATGGAAGAGAATCCAAAGGGACTTAGATGTCATGTGTCCCAGAAAGAAGAGGCGTTCACCACAGTAGAACATGGGAACATGGAATGACATTGTGGAAACAATGCAAACAGCACCGGGATCTGCCTCCCTGTCCAGGAAACAGGCCAGAGACAGCTTCCCAGACCCAGAATGGAGCGGGGGCAGCAGGAAGAAGAGCTGCCCTCAGTCGGACCCTTCTCCCTGATGTCTTGTACATCTTAGGACAGTCGGACAGGGGTGAAGAAGACCTCCTAACTGATGGGGACAACTGTCTGACTCACATTAGATATTCACACTGGACACTTTCAAGGATGGCAAAATTTAGCTTGGCTAAAAATTAAGTGTAGTTATAAAATAAAAGTAAACTTGCACAGCTGAATTTATGACAATAGCATAGGGCTAAGGAGAACAGGAGGAAAAGAGCTTACCAAACAGTGGGTACTACTGATGGGAACACCAAGTAGAGAGAAAAAGGTGATGAGGCAGGAAGATGAAGGCAGCAGCTTTATCCAGCTTAGAATTGTCTTGCTCGTGTCTATGGTCCTTTATATTTGGGAGCAAATGTCACCTCCGATTCTGATCCTTTTACGTGCTAACTGAGCAGGTCTGTTCTTTTTACCTCACTCTCCTCATGTGTAAATTGGTATCCTAACTGCTCCTAGTCTAATTTGTTTTATGCCATGATGAAGTGAGATATAAAAGTTATTTATAAAATGTAAGTTGCTATAGAGATGCCAGGAATATTTGATATTTTTATACTTACATAAATAAGACTTCTATCTAGGACCATTGCATACATAGGTAAGAAATACCCAAGTCATATTTGTGGACAAATACCCCAGGAATATATTTGCAGTTTCAGGAATCTAACCTTAATCCTCTGATTGTTTAATCAAGATCCTTTCCACAAATATGTACACGAGTGGGAGGATCAATGTAGGCTGTGCAATCAAGTATTTAGACCATTCTGGGATTTAGATCTTTCTGAAGAACTTAACACAGAAGAAATAATGTGTTTCTGCCTCATGTATCTGTCTCTGAAACTGGCCTCTATCAGTATTTAAGTTACATGGATATCAGTGGTGATGACTTTCTTTTTCCAAGAAGGGAGACTAGAAAAAGCCACTTGTCATTTAAGATCATTTGGGGGTCCATTTTGCCTATTTGTTGAAAGGTAGCATTGTTTGTCATTTCTACTTTTCTGGAACTCTCTGAGTTTTCCTGAGAATCAAGGCAAGTTCTGTACACTCCCAACAGTGAAAGGAGAGAGGGCAGCCCAAGGGCAGGGAGGCTTTCTGTGCTTCCTCCTCATGTTTGCTCACTGCCACACTCTCTGTTACCAATGAGAGAGGCCATTCTTCATTGTCAGGCTGCTGAGAGATGTGAGACAGCGGCTGTGTTTGAGTAAGAAGGACAGCTTTTCTTGGGCTTGAGGTTTATAGGTTGGATACTATGGCAACACTCTGGGTAAAAGATATGATCAGTATGCAAATCCTCATCACTATCATTATAGGACAGATTTCAACACATTAAAGGGTATTTTGTAATTATACTGAACATATTTATGTTTACTGCATTTCCTTATCTCAATTTTAAATTAAGCAGACCCATTTTTAACGTAAAAGCTGCTCGTGTTGAACAATTTAGGGATAGACAACGAACTCTCACAACATTTAGGTCATGTCAAAAAAATTTTCCTGTCTCTACACCACTTGGAAACAGAAAAACTAAACAGTCTGTAAGCACGAAAGACAAACAGTTTCTATTTTTGTGTGGCTGTATAGTGTCTTCTTCTCTCATTACAATGTGCTGTGTATTCTTATTTTTTGCCTAAAGGATATTTTATAAGTAGTGCCTTACTAATTACACAAATTCAAGTAGACTTGACAAAGTACAAAAGAGAACTAGGACTGTCTGAACTGTAACTAGATTAGCTTTCTGCTCAGTGAGATCAGCAGGAAAGTAAATTTAAAGAACAGGACTGTTAGATTGTCTTTGCCAGAAGGCTCAACTCAAACTCCTTTCCAGCGAAACCTTGGCCTCAGCAGTTTTCTATCTATAGAGTACAGGGTTGGCTAAAACCTCTACGCCCTTCTAATTGTGGAAGTCATGGTTTTTAAGGTTGTGTCTCTTTTGTACATGCGTATAAGCCATTCTCACATTTAGGAAGAGATTGCATTTCAAACTGTATCCTCTGAACCCAAAACACTTTATTCACCCTACTCATTGGTCAATTAATCACATGTCATATTAGACATTTGTTTTAGTTTCACATTTATTGTGACTTAATTCTTATATTCTTAAACATTTCCTGTTTGTGTATATTGTGTCTCCATATAAATGCAAAGGCTGGCTATGTCTCCCTCATCTGTCTCTGAATATCTTAGCAAGGGTGTGGTATAAGGTAGGTAAGGGTATGTTGATTTGATTAGGTGTCAAACAGGGAAGAGGAAGCTTCATAACAACTCCATACCTGTGAGCATGCCTTCATTCACCACGCAGTGTCCATCAATCAAAACAGCATCACATGGCAATGAAAATTTTCCTGGAAGAATAAGAATGTCTCCAGGAACCAAGAGACGGGATTCCAGCTCCTCCAAACCTACACCAAAGCAAAGTTTCCGTGACTAGCTGACCTCTTCTTGTTTTCACTTAAGATTGAAGGTAGCTAAGAATCCCTATCAACCAGTTGGCCAAGAGCTACCCTACCTGTTCAACTGTTGAAGCCTCTTTTTATTCAATTGAAAATTCCAAAACAATCAGGATTAGGAAATTGGTTCCTGGGACACAGAAAAGGATCAGTTTTTCTTTATACAACAAGATCCCATCTTGACCCTAGTACCTGGTATGCTTTGTCCACAGCAAATACACAAGGGCACTGGACATTGCCGAAGTTCAACTTCCTGCTGTTTGCTCTTGTCTAGGTTTTTGATTCCTGTGGTACACTTTGTCTTCTTGGATTGAGGCCTTATGTAAATTGCTCAAATAACTTCTGCCGTCCCAGGGTGCAGCTCCTCATTTTTAACAAAGAGCCACAGCTACCCCACCTCTGGCTAGCTCAGAGCAGATGCCAAGTGTCCAGACAGCTATCTAAAAGCCCAATTCTAGCCTAGGTTCCAGATGGTAGTTCAAATTGTGTGATGCAGAGTCCATTTGGGATAGATTGGGAAATAAAGGAGCCTTAAGAAGGTTTACCCAGTGTTATTCAATTGAGTGACACATGAAGGGAGAGAGAATTTGAAGGAACCCAGACGTTGGGTAAGAATAATTGAATGAGAGCTTGGGTGAGGGTAATGCAAGCAAGATGTCTAGTGTACAAAATTTAAGGAGGCACTTGTTCTCAGGGCCCCACAGCTGTGGGGTCAGCACTGGCATCATCTTGCCTCTTTAAATTTTCTGTCTTAGAGGCCTTTTCCTCATCCTAGTCCTGGTCCTGGGTTCAATCCGAAAAGACTTTTTCTCCTTGACTAATAATTAAGGACAAATGAGACCAATTCCCCCCTAAAATATTAAGATACTGAAGATGGCTTAACACATCACTTACCTTTGTCTTTTACGATGATTGTAACCTGGACTTTGTTGTGGTCTTCCACGAGGTGATGCAGCTTAACTGATTGCTGCCAAGTAAAAGTCAACATTTGAATATTAGATAGTTCATATTCTGAAAACCACATGATCTCAATCCAGTAACCACCAGGCCAGGTCTCACAGCTAAATTGAATCTGGGCAAAGGACTCAACTTCTTTTGATGCTTCAGCTTCCCTGCTCCAACCCCTACCTCACCTGACCCCCTACATGCAGCAGCAAATATGCTCATTAGTTTAATGCTGTTTCACTCCCAAGAAAAAATAGTGCACAGGGGCCTAAGCCAGGGAACCTGTTAAAAGAAACTTTTGACAAATTAAATTTACTGGAGTTTAATTGAGGAAGAAAAAAAAAAGTGATTCGCAAATCAGGCAGCCGCCAGAATGACAGCAGATTCAGAGAGACACCAAGGATGCCTGATGGTCAGAAAAAACTTATAGAACAAAAAGAGAAATGACTACAGAAATTGGAAGTGAGGTACAGAAACAGCTGGATTGGTTACAGGTTGGAGTTTACCTTTTTTGAACAGTTTGAACACTCAGCAGTGTAGGAGTGGTTGAAGTATGACTGCTGTATGAGTAGTTGAAGATTGTTACAGATGCATACTTTTAACTTAGGTTTTCAATCTTGTCTAACTATTAAGTTAGGTTAAGATTGGTCCACCAGGACTCAAATATAGAAGTATGGAGTCCTTCTGAGGCCATATTTAGTTCACTTTAACAAACCAAAGCTACAGTTCTTGAAGATACATGATCAGGAGGAAGAAGAATGAGACTGTGAGAAGGTTACTTCCCTCTTTATGCTTCTGTCTCTCTGCAAAACAATGAAGCCAGATGTTCTCTGTAAGTGGCTTTCTGCTTGTAAGTGTCTCTGTGAATGTTTAGGTTGTGTTTTGATTGCATGTGGGACAGCCATTCTCTTCTTTATGGACTTGGATTTTCGTATTAAGTCTGCAGATGGGAGTTATGCTGTTCAGTTGTGAATCTTGTGCTACTGCTTAAGAGTTATTTAGCTTGTTTAGCTCCTTTTTGCTCATCTGAAAGGGGAGATGATAATAGAATCTATAATACAGGGTTAAGTTTTAAGTTAGTTGATTCTTATAGAGTCCTCTGTATAATACCCAATACTATGCTAAGAGCTCATGACTGTTAGGGATTCATAAGAAAGTTGTTGGGAAAACAGTTGTGAGAGTACGTTAACTGGAAAGACTTGCTTGAGAGAGTTTTTGAGTTAGAACTCTGTGAAAAGTGGAGAAGATGGAAGGAGCCCAGAGAAGTGGAAAAACCATCTTAGAGGATAACACAGGAGACAGAAAGTCAGAGGTGAGAGATAATTTCATCCATGCCGTTCCCCAGACTGACTGTTGGGACATCATCAGCGAGAGAAAGTTCCATGCTGGGCTAACCCGGGAAGGTGTTGCCTCTTACTGTTTGTATATCGGTGACTTGCATGCCTCTTACTAGAAGTGGATTGAATACTGTCAACAATATTTAATTCACCTTACTTAATTCAAATTTAAAACTATTTTTCTTTTAGCTGTTAAATTGTTTTGATCTGTTCTTTTGGTGATATTTAATGTTACAAATGTCACCAGGCTAAGAAAAGCATTACACATAGTTATGTAACTTTCTCCTTGAGATAATGAACCAAGTGTTAATATTTACATGGAAAAATTTACGATTTACTTCAGTTTTGGATGAAAAGATAAACTTTGGTAATTTGGACCAATTGAGTGAAGAAAGCGATAGTACTGTTTAGTGCATAATCATTGCTCTAAGGTGACTTCCTGACGCTTAACTGTTGGGGCATGCATTTTTTTATTTTTTATTTTTATTTTTGAGATGGAGTTTCACTCTCGTTGCCCAGGCTGGAGTGCAATGGTGCGTTCTTGGCTCACCACAACCTCCGCCTCTTAGGTTCAAGTGATTCTTCTGCCTCAGCCTCTCAAGTGGCTAGGATTGCAAACATGAACTACCACGCCAAGCTAATTTTGTATTTCTAGTAGAGAGGGGGTTTCTCCATGTTGGTCAGGCTAGTCTTGAACTCCTGACCTCAGATGATCTGCCAGCCTCAGCCTCCCAAAGTGCTAGGATTATAGGTGTGAGCCACTGTGCCCGGCCAAGGGTATGCATTTTAATGATGCATAATAATGCAAAAGTCATCTGTGGTTCTGTGGGCAAAGAACACTGGAGTAAGCCAGGATTTCTGAGTTGTAGGTCAGACATATCCACTAACCAGTCAGGTAATGTGCGTACATAAGAAATTGTGCCTTAGAAGTTAGTCATTTTCTCTGTAAACAGACAACATTGAACGGGATCACTTTCAAGTTATACCTTAAAGCTATAAAATGATATGACATTGATGTATTTGGCATGTCAGAGACTTATTTAAAACCCACAAGACATCATAGAAGAAATACACATGGTATATAAAATGACTCAAATCATTATTATTTTTACATAGTTTAAAACATTAAGCAGTTATTATGTGCCAGGCATTGTTGTAGGCACTTGAACTACACTATTTGATTTCTTTAATCCTCAAAATAATTCTATGATGAAAATGTTGTCTCCAACATACATGTAAAAACCAAAAACTGGGGTTGAAAATATTAAAGTAACTTTCTCACCGTCACTTACTTACTAAGTAAACCTAGGTTCATCTGACCCTAAAGCCTTTTCTGTTGATGAATAAGTTCTTCTAGTGCTTAAAAACAGCTTTTTTTTTTCATTAAGAAGATAAAAATCCTTCTAGATTTCTTTAATTTGTTTTTTGGGTTTTTTTTTTTTGGCTTAGTAAACTCATTTAGATAATGCCATAATAAATTCAGCTTAGCATGAGAGGATAATAATCAACACATTTAGAAGTGGTCAAGTGTGGGTTAACAATACTTGACTGTAATTCTCAAAACTCATTATGCTGTAGAGCTGGATTGGTTTATTAGACTTAGCATCCTATATAACCTGTCACGCTTCCATGCCTCTGCTCAAGCTATTCCCTAGAATGTCCACTCCAATTTTCTACTAGCAAATTCTTTCTAATCCTTCACATAAAGACCTATTCAAATGTCACTTCCACTCCCTAGGTCCCTGCAATCCCCAGGAAGGATTCATTGTTCTGTTCTCTCCACCTGTGTGAGTTAACTGATCACATTCCATTACAGCTATCTGCTGTCCTGTCAGGTCTTTCTTGTGAGTCAGGCAGTAGAGAGAAGAAAGGCACCCTGTATATTATGCATCTGTGGATTCCTCCAGGGCTTATCACATAGTAGGCCCTCATCAAACATGTATTTGTTGGAACCAAATTATTCTACTTCTCCCAACAACACTGGAGTGGGATAATGTTAGCATCCTCTTTAAGTTAATGTACTCAGAAAATCTACAAACACAGGTTTCTATGGCAACCAACTAGCTGGGAGAAGGCAAACACTGCAATGCTTGCCATGGCTGCAAAGCTCATTGCCTGATTTTTATTAGGCCCCCTCTAGTTTCTTCTGTCCCTGTTCAGCAGGACCAGGATCAATTTCTAACATGAATTTGCATATTGTTACTGTTCAGCATCTGTTGCTGTGTGTCCTTGTGTTTGCTGTGGCTGGACTTCCTCCAGAGATGAGTAATGAGGGTATTAACTCAGGTGCCTCTTGAGCTTGGCTTAGTCATGACTGAAAGCAAAGAACTGTGGACCAGATACTCTCAAAGCTATTTCTAGCAGTCAACTGTGGAGCTCAGCAAGACAGTATGCACATACAGTTCAATGTAAATACAGTCGAGTACCATGGTTCACACTCACGCCTGCACCAAATTTGTTAGAAAGGGACTGAAGCAGGAGGGTGTCTTGGCTTAGGAAAGGTAAGCTTTCTTTGTGTAGCATGATTTGAGGCCACAGTAGATGCAGAAAAACATGTTATTCTATTCCTGCAAACACTTACTCTCTTACAATTTTCAAAAGCCTGTGTTTTTAAGACTTTCAGTGAAATAACTAAGTTCAGCGTGGCTCAACAGGATTTGAAGATGGCAATAGATGCTACTTCTTTCATTCCTGCCAAAGCCCTTCCCCAAGTCTTACTGCTGCAAGGAAATTCATGAGTCACTTTGAGATTGTGCTCAGTGACACAGTGTGTAGTACTTGACTTGGAATCAGAAAACCTGGGGCTAAGGTCTATTGGCCACTGTTACTGGGTGAGTGTGAACAAGTCCCTTTATCTCCCAGATGTTCCTGTCCCTTCCTCTCAGGTGGTAGGAGGCTATAAAAATCATGTGTGTTTTATTACACAACTTGCCAGGTTCCACACAAACACATACATTATTAATGTGGGCACCTATTGTAAACTGTAAAGTGCTAAACAGATGTTGATGATTGAGGACTTGTGATTTAAATTGCAAATATACAGTTTCAGGAAACTGGCTTATTTTGTATAGGGTTACAAGGTGCTTTACAGATTGGGTTAGGTACACTTTTATTAATAAATACAGGCTGCTAATGAGATTAGTGTTTGTCCTCTAATTCCTTTTTTGTTTTTTAAAGAAATCCTTTACAATACTGCCATCAAGTCTAAAGTTCCATTATTAGCCACTGTTTTGAACAAAGGAATGTAGGGATTCTGTTAAGATGCGGAACCTGAATGTTTAAATTCCAGTAAGGATTTTTAAATAAGCAAATTACAAGGATTAGAAAATAGGTATTACCTAACTTTGGAAGGGGAGACCTAATAAGCAAAACAATAAATTATAATGGAAAAGAGAAACATATTTTACTGTACCTAAATTTTCAAGTATAGCTAAGTCAAAGTCAAGAGAAAAAAGACTAAAAAGTAAAACTTTTCACAAAAATGATGAATATCAAGAAGCCCTTAATATAAAATGAAAATACAAAACACTATTAGACAAAAAAAGTACTTAGTCTCACCAGCAATCAGGAAAATGTACATTAAAGCATCAAGGAGACCCAATTTTTAAATACATTAGATTTAAAAAATTATAAATATTAATATATAACTCCAGAAACTGATGAATGTGGGGGAAATAAATACTCTTGTATATTTCTGAGAAAAAAATTCATTTGTGGAAAACAATATAGCAGCATCCATTAAAATTCAAAATATACATTGATTCAGTAACCTGGCTTTTGGTTGCCATGCTAAAAAAATGCAAACACTAATATATAAGAACATGCCTGTACTGTAGTTATGTTTAATTCAACATTATTCGTGGTAGCAAAAGATTGAAGGGAAATTACTTTCAACAAATAACAGAATGGTTGAATAAATTATGATATATCACAGAATATTATAGTATTATTTTTAAAACATGAATTATTTATTTACTTGATGAATTGCCATTATATATAAAGTGAAAAATGAAAGTTCCAGATTAATGTGCATAGTAAGATCCTATTTTAATTTTAAAAATTAATAATGACATAAATCTCCATATAAACTGGTATATATATATATATATATGCACTTAATAGAGTGAGTGAAAAATATGATGATGGCGTTAATAAATAAATACATATATCTGGGATCTTGGTGTTCGAATTTATCCTTCAGTGGGTTCCCTTATAATAATCATTCTTAAGCTTTCAGAATGCATAGTAATCATTAGTTGTAAAACTTTTAAAAATGAAGATTCCAACCCTGGATATTTTGATTTAATAAGCCAGAAGCTCAGAAATATCAGGAAATTCTCTTGCTAAAACACTGTCTTATTGAGTATAGAATCAAACTTAATTTCTTCTACAACCCATCCCCTAACTCCCACACACGAATTTCTGTATTTCTTTGGGATTCCCATAAAGATATACATGAATATCAAATGAAGATATAGACATTATAAAGGACTTCTAGGAAACGTAGAGAACAAACATAATATTTAAGTCAGGGGAAATATGTGAAATGCACATAGTTGAGATGCTACCCCTTCATTCTCCTAAAACTATGGCTGGCATCATGAATACATCACAGCATTCTTTCCCACCATACTCAAATACAGCCTCAGAGTCCTTCTAAACAAAGCATTCAACAAAGTCTTCAGATGATAATCAGAGTTTGCAAAAACATTTAAATCTTCCTGGTAGTCCCAAGGTCCTCCTTCTGTAATCCCACATTTGGTAAGCCCCCTCTTTTTGTTCCATGACCTATGTCTGACAAAGCAACTCCTGGCTCTCAGTAGAAAGTCCATGGGCTTTACTTATTTAGCTAGAAGCTAAATAGATTTCAGCTCTTACCTGTCTCAAATCATACACACTTAAGACAATGGAGATAAACAGACAAAATGATGATGGCCACAGAGTATTCTATGTAACCTTGAGACAGCCACAAAGTTAGCGTGAAGGCTTGGAACACATAGAATGGATTTAAAACCTGCAGGTACAAAAATAGCATTTGAGTCACTTGCATGAACCTTATTGGCAATCAAGAAGATGTCATTTCATTATAGAATTTTTTCTCATTTTTTTTTACAATATACAAAAACCTCTAATATTTAAGAATTCATTTAGATCTCTATTGATTTGGATTGAGAAAATGTCAAACACACAGAATGTGATATGGTGGAAGCAAATTATTTTATGCATTCAGAGCCACGCCCACAAATTGATCATAATTTATTCTGAATTTCAAAAATATTTTACTAATAACAAAATTTGCGTGTGTGTGTGTGTGTGTGTGTGTGTTTCATTGTACTTTAGGTTATGGGGTACGTATGCAGATCATGCAGCATTGTTGCATAGGTTACCTTCTTAAACAGGTTTACTCATAATGGAGGAGGTACATGATTCAGTCTCTTTTAAAAATGTACTTCAGTTTTGAACAGTTTAATTGCAGTTTTATTTTTCATGTAATCACATGCTGCAGATTTAGTCAAGTTGTACAATGAAAATGAAAGATTCTACTTTTTATTCGGGTCACTTAAAAATAACATATCTTTCATGTAGCAGGTCTTAGCAAGGTCACATGAGAGTCAATCAAGTCCTTCTCTTGAACAAGGAGGAAGACTGGAGAGAAATGTCTTCCCCAAGGCTGTAGGACAAATCGTGGGCAGAAGGTATTACCAGCCGGAAAGCTTGTCATTCATATATGTTCGTTTTTGGTGTCAGGAGAATACCTTCAGATTTTTTCGTTCCCTCAATTTTTCCCATTTGGGTCCTGCTAACTCCTGCTAGTAATGAGAGCAGAGAGGGCAAGCCCGAGAAGCCAGAGAAAAGTCACAGGATATACACATAGAAAGTGAATTTAAGAGCCCATGAGAACAAAGCAAGGATTATTTTTTTGAGGACGTGTTCTTTCTAATCATTATGAATTGAATAAAATATTGCTTAAAACCAGTGGTACTCTTACCTCTATTTTCTAGAATTCCCTTATGTATTAAATATAATTCTACTTTAGTTTTAAAAGTGAACTGACCTATGGTAAATAGGTTGGTGAGTGGTATGTTAAGGGCTGGGTATAATTTGTGCATTAAAAAGATTTTATTCCTTAATGTTTCTTATTATTTCAATCCTCACTGCTTTACTTACGAATTACAGCTTTTGTTGTTTGCTTATTATAAAATGCTCTAATTGCAGATTATGTACAAATGATAATACGATCTCTAGGTTAAATAAGTCCAGTAGAAAACTGGTGAAATACTTCTTGCGGAAGAAACAACACTATCCTAATTAATTTAGTTCTCTTATTTAATAGTCTTTTGAAACCAAATGTAAAGAAATATTTGTACTTTTTTTTTTTTGTCCTACTAAAGGGCTAGTAAATAGGTGCCGAAAATATTAGCTCTCCTTTCAAAAGAGAACAAACCGACCCCTGGAGAATCCTTGGCAATTTGAAAATGTATTTGAATGAGTTTAAAAAGCTGGCTACCTTTCGATAGTTAGGGAAAGTATGCCCATGTTAAGTCAGGATGTATATAGGAAATCTTTATATGTTCTGCCCAATTTTGCTGTGAACTTAAAACTACTCTAAAAAAATAAAATAAAGCAATCTGTTTTCTGCTCCAGACACAGAATAATATTAAATATTTTCTTAATGTTAAAAAGATACGCCCATGCTCAAAAACAAAATGACCATCTTTATGGGTTAGAAATACACTGGAAACATGCAGCATTGAGTGAGGACTAACATCATCAGATTCATAGGTTCCAGACAAGGACCAGACAGCAAAATCTAGGTGCTCTTTTCTCAGAGGAATAGAGACAGAATGTGTCCCTCAGGTGGCAGAAGATAGAAACAAGGCTTATGATGGAAAACGGGTGGCAGTGGGCTTCCTGTTCCAGAATAGAGGCTCAGCAAAGTAATAACCAATGAGGGCTTACCAGCCAAAGTGGAATGGGAGAGAACAGAGTCCATGGTACAGCTGTGAACTGCGCCAAGCCTCAAGCTAGCTAAGGGCATGCATGTGACAAATCCCCAAAGGACAAGCACCCAAACCTTCAGGGACCACATAGGGGCCAGTTGGAGACAAACAGAGCCATCAAAGAAGCACAGCAAGCACAAAGAGAAAGAGAAAAATTGATGGGAAAGGTGTCCCCCTTAAGGTAAGCCAANAAAAAAAAAAAAAAAAAAAAAAAAAAAAAAAAAAAAACCCCAAGCATACAAGGAAGCTATTGTTAAAAACAAAAACAAAAATGAAACACTAACAAAGGGAGAAGTTACTCTCAAGAAAATGAAAATAATAAAGCAATTTGAAAATGCCCAAAAGAATACATTTCAAATCCTCAAAAATTATAGAAAAAATAACTGTCCGATGCTGTAGACTGAACATTTGTGTTCGGCTAAATTCAAATGTTGAATCCCTAACCCCTAGTGTGATGGTATTTGGAGTCAGGCCCCTGAAAGGCAATTAGGTTTAATGAAGTCATGAAGGTAGAGGTCCCATGATGGGATTAGCGGTCCTTGTAAGAAGCGGAAGAGACCAGAGCTCTCTCTCCACCACGTGAAGACACAAAGAAAGCAATGGTCTGGAAGCCCAGAAACGGGTCCTCGCCAGGAACCAAATATGCAAGCACCTTGATCTTGGACTTTCCAGCCTCTAAAAGTGTGAGAAAATAAGTGTTTGTTGTTTAAGCCACCCAGTCCATGATATTTTGTTATATAACCCACGTGGACTAAGCCACCCCACCACCACCAACACAACCACCATCCAAACTTGAGAACAAAAACAAAGCAAACAGGAAATTATGAAGCAGGAATCTGTCTCTCACACTAGAAAGAAATTTTAAAGTAGATCTGAATTTAAAATAAGCAGTAACAAAAGAAGTTGTATGAAACAAGATATCATCACATTCAAGTATTTATGTGCTCCTTCTAGGAAGTATGAAGTAAGGGGCAGAAGTCTATTTTAAAAAAAAAAAAAAAGAAAAGAAAACAGTTACCTGTTTGACAAGCAGCCTCCATATGGGTTGGATTTCAACCTCAATGGTGTTGGGCCCACACACTAATCTTCTGTGGGAGAGTGATCATCCATTAGTGTCATCCCTACAAGCTCAGTGGTGAGTGACTATAGGACAAACTAAGCAGAAGTCACTTTTCTACTCTTAGGAGATTCTGTAGCTTTGATTAAAAAAATAATGTGCAAGAACTTTTGAAACATAATTCTAAACTACTAATACATATTTGAAATGAAATTCAGTGCATGATGGACAGAGATGTATTCCTTGATAAAAAATATGTCTTAAGTATAGTGCAACTCAAAAAAAAGCTAGAAAGACATTTTCATTTTGGGTTACTTTTTTTTTTTTTTTTTGAGACAGAGTCTCACTCTGTCACCCAGGCTGGGTTGCAGTGGAATGATCTTGGCTCACTGCAACCTCTGGCTCACTGCAACCTCTGCCTCCCAGGTTCAAGCGATTCTTCTGCCTCAGCCTCCCAAGTAGCTGGGACTACAGGTGTGTGCCACCACACCGGGCTAATTTTCGTATTTTTATTAGAGACGGGGTTTCACCATATTGGCCAGGCTGGTCTCGAACTCCTGACCGCATGATCCACCCACCTTGGCCTCCCACAGTGCTGGGATTACAGGTGTGAGCCACCATACCCAGAATTGAGTTACTTTTAAAATAATTTTATTGTATACTAAAAGCAGCAAAAAAGACACAGCTATGAAGTTGTTCCTTGATTTGTCAGGCATTCTAGAGTGCCCTGAATGTTAGAAGTCATGTCTATCTTACATTGCTAGCTCCAGCACCTAGAACAGGCCCTTAGTACATAAACTGAATAAATACATAAGTGAATGCGCATATGACCTGGAAAATATGGCCTTCATGGCTAACACTTGGTAAATATGTGCATTATACACAAGGTGTAATACTTACGTGTATTACAACAAGAATGCATGTTTTTATACTATTTTACTACTAACAAAGTATTTACAAAAGATTCATTTGATCCTCACAATAGTCCAACGGAAAAGGCTGATATCCCTACTTTGCCAATGGAAAAAATTATTCAGTCTGGTATGTAGGCAAAAGTGAACACATCTAGTATTAATCACGACAATGTAACTTTTAAACGGAGTTGACAGTGTCAGAAACCGCACTTAGCCTTTTATATGTGTTAACTCCTTCAATCATCACATTATTCCCATGAGATTTCATATTAGCATCTATTGTAGTAAAAACTGAAGTTCAGATAAACCAAGAAACTTTTCCAGGATCACAGAGCAAGGAAGAGACCGGCTTTGTAGCATGGTATATGACTCCACTTCTCAAATCTGCCACAGCAAGTACCAATGGGGAGAATCCAGAAATCTTTGGTTTCACTGAGTTATAGTAGAAAACTGAGCCCAAGTTTATCTCACTTCTTAGCCATATTTTTTCCAAGTGCAATTGTAGTTTGCAAAGGACAGAGAGAACTCAAACCAAGGTCTTCTGAGTCCATGCCATGAAAACACTGAGGGTCAAGGACGTTGGGAATCAGAGAGTACAAACAGCCTGTCATGCCCTTTGACTTCTTAAGTCCCTACACCTCACACTGGAAAGAGACCATAAATCAAACCATCTTGGTCCTCAGGACTCTTTTGCACAATCTGGGGCAATAATCTGTTGTTAACCAAAGTGCCAGAATTTAGGATCCCAAACTTGATCCTCCTCTGTCTCTCTGCTTTGAATGCCCTTCCCACATTCCCACAGTTTGTAAATGCCTACTCAGCCTTTGAGGACCAGATCTGACAATGAAGCCTAATGGTTGAGACCTGTGGGATCAACTAGACCTGGATTTGAATCGAGATAAGACCTTGTGCTTGCTGTTCCTGGAACTAATTTTCCCCACAACTTTGTATGGCTTACTCCCTTAGTCCCTGTGTGAAACAAGGGTGTTCCCTTGTGGAAAGAATTTCATTCATTCTCTGTTCAAATAGCACCTCCTTATTGGGGTTTTCCCTAACAATGCTACTTAAAATAGCTACCCTGACTCTCAGTTCAGATTCTCCTTATCTCGCCTTATTTTTCATTATCGTGTATATTAATTACCTGAAATTACAAGTTATGTTTTACATTTTAATCAGCATGCAGATAAAAGACTACATTCTCCACTATAATATAAGCTTCCAGAGGACTTCGATATATTTCCAATGCCTAAAACAGAGCCTATTATATGTTGAATGAATGAACTGATGGCTGAATGAGGGGTCAGCCTCATTTTTCTCATCTGTAAAATGGGTTTTATAAAACATACCTAATAAAATTTCTATCAAGCTGAGAGTATGGCACACACCTGCAGTCCCAGCTACTTGGGAGGCTGAGCCAGGAGAACGGCTTGACCTCAAAAGTTTGTATGAGACTAGCCTGGGCAACACAGGGAGACCTTCATTTAAAAAAAAATGCTATCAGTTGCATATGAGATAAATACATACAGCATTTAGTTCTCAATAAATGGCAGCGATTTTTGAAATCTTACTCCCTCTGGCACAGTTAACTGTATTTTTCTCCCTTCCAACAACCTTTCCTTTCTTAGCAACAGCACTTACACCATTAAATTACAATGTATATTTACATGTCTTTCCCCTCAAGTTTCCTAGAGCCTTTTTAAAGGCAGAAACAGAGATTTTTAAACACTGTTTAAAAAATCTAGCATTGGCCGGGCACAGTGGCTCACGCCTGTAATCCCAGCATTTTGGGAGGCCAAGGCGGACAGATCACCTGAGATTGGGAGTTCCAGACCAGCCTGACCAACATGGAGAAACCCTGTCTCAACTAAAAGTACAAAATTATTTAGGTGTGGTGGTGCATGCTTGTAATCCCCAGCTACTTGGGAGGCTGAGGCAGGAGAATCCCTTGACACTGGGAGACAGAGGTTGCAGTGAGCCAAGATTGTGCCATTGCACTCCAGCCTGGACAACAAGAGCAAAACTCCATCTCAAAAAAAAAAAAACAAAAAAAAAAACAAAAAATCCAGCATCTAGTGGCACAGTGTCTGACCTAGCTAGAGGATGTTTCCTAAATATTAAAATTAATTAATGAGGTTCAAGGCAGTACACAGGTTGTGGAAAGCAGTTTAGAAAGCAAGCCTAGGGTCTGATGCTATTTGGCTCTTCAAGTTTGGCAATATTACCTCTGAGAGAGAAGAGCTCAGATCCCATGAGGACTGGGATCCAGTGAATCAATATTTACTTGTAGATTATCCTCTTTATGGCTCATCTGAGCCATATTTAAATCAAAGCCTGGCATGTCCCTTGCTGCTTTGTCTCTTCTACTGCTTCTTGCCAAAAAATATTGTGTGTTTAGAGACCATGTACCCAGCTCAGTTTCAGCACAAGCCAAGCAGAATGTTCGGCGCATTGACCAATTACTGAGCAAGGGAAGAAATATGAGATTTGAAGCTGGTTCACATGCGGAAAGGTCTAAGAAAAAGGGAGCTGACATTCCCTGACTAAAAACCTGAGCAACTGGCAGGGAAAACAGGACCCAGATTGTTCCCAGGGGCTTCACAGAAAAACATAGGCCAAATAAAATTAAGCGGACTTGCCAAATAGTGATAACTATCCATTAGAAGAGTTGCTTTGGAGGTAGATGCTTCCTTTCTGGGAGCAGAGCGATTTCTCAGCAGGAAACTTGTGGAGGAGATTTCTGCAGGGACCATGGGCTAAACTTGAGGAATGACTGGAGTTTCCTCCAACCCTGAGATCTTAGTAAATCTGTTAGAAGTTCTTTCTTTCCTTCTTTTTTTTTTTTTTTTTTTTTGGTGATGGAGTCTTGCTCCATTGCCCAGGCTAGAGTACAGTGGCACAATCTTGGCTCACTGCAACCTCTACCTCCTGGGTTCAAGTGATTCAACCTCTGCCTCCTGTCTCAGCCTCCCAAGTAGCTGGTACTATAGGCATCTACCACCATGCTCAGCTAATTTTTTGTATTTTAGGAGAGACAAGGTTTCACTGTGTTGTCCATACTAGTCTCTAACTCCTGACTTTGTGATCCACCTGCCTCAGCCTCCCAAAGTGCTGGGATTACAGGCATGAGCCACTGCAGAAAACCAAATACAGATGACTAAAAATACTTTCTCTTGAGGGAGGTCCATGTCCCTTTTTATTTGTTGTTTATTCATTCATTCAATTAACTTACCAAATAATTGTTAAGAATATGTTATGTGGTAGGCACTTTAGGCTCCAGGTGGTAAAGACTAGAGGAGTCAAGGAGGAAGGAAGGGCGTGTTAGAATTATGGTGGAGCTTTTTCAAACTACACCTGTTTTTTGCTCACGGCTTCCCTTCTGGTAAGTTTCCGGTAGGGTCTCTGCCAGGCAGGGACGTCTAGAGTTTTCCAAACACACAATGCCAGGCCAGGAGATTCTGGCATAACCCATTTCCAGGAGCTTAGGAATTTTTAGGAAGCAGACATGTAGAAGTTGAGAAAGTTCCCATGTGATTCTGTTAGCGAGTTCCTCACTTCCCTAACACTCTTGTTTTATAAAGAGAGGAAGACCTAAGATATTCACAGATGCATAGGATATGGCATCCAACTTCTGGGATTTGGATGTAGTTGCATCGTACAACAAGATGTTGGCATTGGAGCCCTTCCATTAAAAACAATAATAAAAACAAGATTGGTAAGTGTTGAGAAATTGCTTTATGGAAGGAAAAAAATCTCTATTTCATTACACATTGAACCTGCTTATGTACTTTTAATGAAACATTTATACAGAGAATGTATCTCCATTTTACAAATGACATGAAAGTTATTTTAGTTTTTCACATGAGTCCTCATCTGTGAGCTGCCCATTTCTTTCATTGCCTAAATTGCACGTTTTCAGGTAGCCTCAGGAAAACTCGGGAAGTTGGGCTGTTAGAGGATTTCAAGCTCTCACGTGAGCTAAGTGAGACACTTCTGGCCAGCTTTTCTGGGGAAAGGCCCTGAGTCTTCCTAGGCATGGGGATGCAGAAGGGAAAGGACCAGGAAGACATCAGGAATGGAGATGGGGTTACAAAGAAACCCATGCAGGATCCTGCCAAGGAGATTCTGGACTTAGGTTTACTGGTGCCTCTGTAGGGCTTTGCTCTAAAATAAGGCATTAGAGTTAAGTGATTTTGTACTTGAAATGGGCCCAGGTCCATAGAACCATGGATCTGCTCATTTATTAAAAAAGAAAATGATTGGATCATGAGGTCAGGGTTCAAGACCAGACTGGCCAACATGGTGAAACCCCATCTCTACTAAAAAATACAAAAATTAGCTGGGCATGGTGGCTGATGCCTGTAATCCCAGCTACTTGGGAGACTGAGGTAGGAGAATTGCTTAAACTGGGACCCAGGAGGCAGAAGTTGCAGTGAGCGGAGATCATGCCACTGCACTCCAGCCTGAGCTCCAGAGAGAGACTCCATCTCAAAAAAAAAAAAGAAAGAAAATGATCTCAGTCCATTTAATTTTTATTAAATGCCTTATGCATTACATTTTAAAGAAAATATATATACACGTTATTTTTTTAAGTAACTCATTAACTTCTGGTTGAATACTAATAGTTGAGACTATGTTATTGGCCTCCAGAAGAATGAGCAAAGCCCCTTTCCTCTTCTCCAAACAGCCCTTTCTTGATCTTTCTGTAAATGCTGACCTGATGGCTAAGTATCTACTACAGGGCTGTTTTCTAGAGGTGGTTTCAAAGGGGATAGAGGTCATGGTATATCACCATGGTTTCTAACTTTTCCTTCCCCAAGACTGCAGAGTAAGAGAGTAAGGTCTCATAGTAGGCTCCCTCTATCTCTCTCACCTTTTGTTTCTTCTTTCTCTCTCTTCTAATGTTCTGTGTTCTCATGAAACAGTTTCTGTCAGCTTGAAGTTACATATTAATGGCAAACCTACCTTCTCTCGCTGTCTGTTACTTGGATTCCTTTTCCCTGGTGCTGACAAGCATGCCTTTTCTCTCAACGCTGTGGTAAACATTGAGAATTAAATTTGGCCTTGCAGAATCACTAAACCAAGGGGCATCTCTTCCCAGCTTCACATTCGGTGATGTCACCTTGGTGGCTTAAGTTGTCCATGGATGGGACATCCCCACCATAGAAACCAGCAAACCCTATGTATCAAAGCTTTTTTTCTTCCTGAGAGCTAGGTCACCAGGCAGGTGATTGGTCTGGACTTAACCCCAAGAGTGTGTGTGTGTGTGGGGTGTGTGTGTGTGTGTGTGTGTGTGTGTGTGTGGTGGGGGAGAGTGGAGTGGTAGAGAGAGAGTCCTTCCATTTCTACTGCCAGAAAGTCATTTACTCCTTTTATTTTCTGGAGCCTAAACAGAAGGGACAGAAGCAGGTTGGGTGGGCTGAATGATAAGGTGAAGAGATGCTCACCTCATAAACGATCTTAATAGGAAGACTACTTGACTAGTTGAGGAATCAGGTAGGGTTTTTTTTTCTTCCCCCCCATAGGGCCTCACTTTTGTGATACAAAAGAATTGTCTTTTGACTTGTCTAGGACAGGTACTAAGATGGAAGATTGAGTTCAGTTCATGACAGGTGAAGCTAGGAACGCGGAACTCCTGGGAAAATTTACTTGTTCTCTTCCTGATACCTTCTCACAATGTCTCTCCAGGGTAAAGTTGTTTCTCCTGATGTTCTGATATGCTTTTGCTACTGAAAAGTGAGAGCTATGTAAATCTGTGCATTTTCTCTCTTTACCTGGCTGCTAGGGAGCAAACAGAAAAATTCGCCTGTAAACTCTATAGCTTTTAATCAACAGAGATTCTTGTGTATCCCCCTTCATTTGCCATGTTATCCACTTGCTTTTTAATGTAAGAGAGCTCAAATTCACCTAGGAAACTGGCAAGATATTACTCAATCATCCATCACATTTAATTTCTTTAAATATCTTACTCTTACCCTAAAAAAATGAAGGAAAAAAATCTTTCATATTCTACTTACTCTCTTTTCACCCCCCAAATAACATAAACATGACTATGTTTCTAAGTAGATTTTCTCCTCCATTCTTCATATTTGGAAAATGATACTATTTGTCTTGCTTCTTAGATTGTCAAGTTCTATATTGTCTGGGTCAGATTTTTTTTTTTTTTAAGACAGAGTCTCACTCTGTTTCCCAGGCTGGAGTGCAGTGACATAATCTCAGCTCACTGAAACCTCTGCCTTCCGGATCCAAGTGATTCTCCTGCCTCAGTCTCCCAAGTAGTGGGACTACAGGAACACACCGCCACGCCTGGCTAATTTTTGTAGTTTTAGTACAATGGAGTTTCACCATGTTGGCCAGTCTGGTCTCAAACTCCTGACCTCAGGCGATTCACCCACCTCGACCTCTCAAAGATCTGGGATTACAGGTGCAAGCCACCATGCCCAGCTGTGGATCAGATTTAAATTTAATTATGTACGATGTTTATTAAAGTTTGGTGCTTGATAAATAAGAACAAAACATGAGGTAGCTGCACTGACAAGAAATCGTTCCTGTGGAAGTGGTTACCTAGGCAGAGTATGTCTAAATTTATCAACTAGAATTCTTAAATGTCCTGGAAAGATCTTTTACATGTCTTGTACCTAATGCTATTAAACAAACATATTTTTAATGACTTTAAAAACTTTTTTGTGTTTCAATGTATTAAGCATTACATCTGAAATCTTACATAATAACACAATATTGTCCTAGACCAAATGTCTGTTTCATCTTTCATAGTGTCTGACAGAAGAAAAACTTAAAAACAGCAGATTGGCAAATCTTAGCCTTGGTGTGTGTGAGAAGTATGGGGGTTGCTTACTAAAAATGCATCTCCTCTCTTATAAATACCCCTTGCTCCTATAGAACTATTGGAATTATGAGAGTGGAGCTTAAAACCTATATTTTTAAGTATCAGATTACTTCTTAGCTTGAGAATCAGTGTTTCTGGTTGACTGTAAAGGTTAAGCAGCTACTCTCTAAAAATGGGTGAGAAATAAAGGTGATTTCAAGATTTTGATCATAAAATGAGCATCTCCTGGCTGTGCCCCTCGGGTGGAAGGGGCCGGATGCAGCAGCTGCTCAATTTCATTGTGTTGATTTTCTTCCCCCTTCCACTTAGGGATCTTAATTACTTTCAAAATATTTTCAAAAATATATATATTTTAAAAATCCTTAAAAAGAACAAGATTTTGAGGAAGACTTGTTATGATTTTCTTTCAGATTTGCTAGGATTCACCATTTCAAATAATAGCTGAAGAAATCAGGGCCTCTGCATCTCTGTGAGTTAATAACAGTGTGAGCATTTCCTAATGTATGTGCATCTATAGGTACCAATCTCATGATTGCATTACTATTTTTGCCTTTCTTTCTCACTAGTCAGTGTCTCTGGGACAATGACTAAGCCTTTATCTTCAGATCCCTAGTTCCTTGCTAGGTGCCTATTTGTTAGTTAACAAATCAATGAATATATTAATTTATTCATTTACTATCTATTGAGCTCCTACCAGGAATCAAGCCCTGCTCTGGGTGCTGCAGATATAGTAGTGAATAACACAACTAACTGAGCAAGCAAAATCCTTATCTCCAGGACTAGTTCTTCAGAGCAAAATGCAATCACAGTATTGTCTTTCTGTCTCTCTGAGAATTTGGAGGAAGGGAATTACTCAACATATTTTTAAGAAAGAAAAAAAAAATAAGACAACACAAGGATGATTGCTCTACAAGCCTGAGATAAAAGATCAAATTTTATATGATTGCCTTGTTCTTTTAGTCTTTGTAAAAATAAGGTTGCCTAAGAAGAGAGCAATTTAGAATATCTCTGCTGCCAGTAAATGAACTTAGACTGTATCAAGCTGATGAAGCATTCTGCCAACAATGCACTGATGATAACTGATTTGATACTTCATTTTCTGCTTGCAGAGTTTACTCTTAAGGAGTATGATAAATCCTACCTGACTTCTTGCTCTTCACTGGTCAGACCCAATCCAAATGTCTGATGGATGTCAAAGCAGGAGTTGCGGTCCTCTAGCAACCTAGGATGTAGTCAGGGTAGGAACCAAGCTTCAGTTCATAGCACTTAACAAATCAGTGCTTTTCCCCTGTATCCTGACTTAGGGGCAACGAAACATTGTACTCACCCAACTTTCTGAAACCGCTTCTCCAGGTTGTTCCAAACATACCTGATTTTCTGCACTTGGATGCATCGCAGCTACAATTACAAACGTGATGGAACTGGTGTCATTCATATCATAAAGCTCATCAAGAGAGGGGAGTGGTGCTTAATGCAGGATGCAGGTCCCCTTGTGGGTCTTTCTTTTTTTTTTTTTTGAGACAGGGTCTCACTCTGTCACTCAGGTTGGAGTGCAGTGGCATGATGACCACTCACTGTAGCCTTGACCTCCCAGGCTCAATCAGTCCTCCTGCCTCAGCCTCCTAAGTAGGTGGAATTACCAGCATACACCACCACACCCAGCTAATTTTTGATTTGTTTATTTATTTTATTTTATTTTTTGAGATGGAGTCTCGCTCCGTCGCCCAGGCTGGAGCGCAGTAACACGATCCTGGCTCACTGCAAACATCTCCTCCCGGGTTCAAGCGATTCTCCTGCTTCACTTTCCGCTGGGATCACAGGCGTCCACCACCATGCCTGGCTAATTTTTGTATTTTTAGTAGATATGGGGTTTCACCATATTGGCCAGGCTGGTCTCAAACTCCTGACCTCATGATCTACCTGCCTCAGCTTCTCAAAGTGCTGGGATTATAGGCATGAGCCACTGCACCTGGCCCTTGATCTTTTTTTCTTTTTCTGTTTTTTTTTAAACATAGATGAAGTTTTGCCATGTTTCTCAGGCTGGTCTTAAACTCCTGGGCTCAAGTGACCACCAATGTTGGCCTTCCAAAAGTGCTGGGATTACAGATGTGAACCACCATGCCCAGCCTGTCTCACTTTCTTTGATACATAGCTGTTATTCCCATTCCAAAAGTGTGATATTCAGAACTTTCATTTGATAAACACTTATTTTGTACTTTCTCTGCAAACATGCCATAACACTGTACTCTTCAAATAACTTACTTTTAATTCTGGCTTTAGTAAGGCTTGGTTTATGACAGAGTGGCGGTCAGCCACCAGGGATTCTTTCCACTTTTTGCTTATAGGAAACTTCAGTGTGGATAGGTAGAGGCAGAATACCTTCTTCCTCATATATCTTTGAAATTCGTCCTAGAAAAGATAATCCAGTTCATGAAATTCTCAAGTGTTATTCAGTAAGGTACTCAATCAACCAAATACCTACCAAGTGCTAGACAAGGGTTTTCAGAGTTTGGTACAAAACTTTGACCCAAACAAGAGTATCAGCTTTATCCCAGAACCGACTAGAAATGTGCATTCTCAGCCCCACTTCAGACCTACTGAATTAAAAACTCTGGGTGGGACCAGGAGTTCTTGTTTCTATGATGATTCTGATTTGCACTAAAAGTTTATAATCACTGTGCTAGAGAATAAAAAGAAAGATATACTTTGCAGGAAAGCTTTCTATCCAGAAAATAGTTTCTAGCTATTTTAATGTGACATTTAGGTGTTTAAAATGTGTAATATCCTCCAAAATACATATTTTTGAAAAACTAAATGGCCGTTCCCACGTTATGGAATCTAAAAGCTGTAACACTGACAGCCACTGTTCATGTAAGGGCTAAGAGCACTCTGTTAGCCTGATGTGGTCGAAATTTCCCCAAGCTGAAGTGGAAGAAATGCCCTTTGTTCCTGGGTCAAAATGAGAGATAGCAAGTGGATTGCAGAGATAAGTTTGCCATCTCCTGTTGTGATCTATGGAAACTCTTTAAAAAGAGGAAATCTACTCTCTGAAATATAATACTAGCCACAGAGTTGTGCCACAGAGGCCATGAGGAAGACATGATGATGGCATTTGAAATAGGTGACAGAAGGGTACGCACTGTTGTCCTCAGCAAAACAGTGTCTGCTTCTTGCAAGGGGCATGGAACGCAGTTGGCCCACACTCTCCACTGGGGTCTCCAGTAGAACACCAGCAGAAGGCCCCCACAGGTCAGCACGGATGCGACAAGGCAGAGGGCTTTCCGTACATTCTGGTCACGGTAACCAAACACCTCCTGGAGAATAAATGTAAAAGATCACTCGATTTTTCTCCTTTTTTCACAGAAGCATATTATTTTCTTTCAATAAACCAAACTTTAGATGAAGGAATATTGGTCGGGAGAGAAATCTGGTGTTAGGTGGTTGAATCAAGTTGTCTGCTTGCAGCTGTCCGCTGATATAATCAAAAAAGAAGGACTTATTTTACTACCCTGGTATATGGAATTAAAACATTAAACAGGAGTAAGGAAGGGGCCAATTTATTTGCTTCTATGTATTTACAAGAGTTACCTCAGATTTTTATAAAATGCTTCATGTTTTGAGCCAGGTTTATATTTTTTAGGAATTAGATATTTTAAAAATTGTTAATATGAATTTATTGTAGGAAGATGAAAAATTTTGACAGATATGATCTACATTCATACATCTGGCTTTATCCATTCAGGTTTGTTTTATAATAACATGGTGAGAATGATCATAAGTATGAATAAATATACTATTTTCTACAACAGTGTGATGATATAAATTAAGGAATTACCTGTGGGCATGAAAGACTTTCCAAAAGCAGCTTATATTTATTTACCCTGATAATAATATGCTAAAATATTTGGACTTTCAGTAGATTAGTTAATATTTGTCATAAACTGAATAAAGACTTGAGATTTGGTTCTAGGGGGGAAAGTTGCCAAACAACAGATTTGTTTATTCAAAGCCAATTTCTAGTTCCCATCTTCTACAATGAAGTGTCACAGTATTGTTTTTAAATTTTAAAGCCTAAATTTTCAGTGCATTTTGAAGCCCCTGAAGGATGATGATTATGAATAATATCTTTATTACACTTTTATTTTAGGTTCTGCTATTGTTGTTTTTGTGCTTTTTAAAAATATGACTGAACTCTGAATTTTCAGGTCCAGATCACAGGACTATAATTTCAAGAAACTTAGTTTTTACTAAGTGTCTAGAGCATTTTTGATGATGGAATATGCTGCATTTTATGCCAGTTTAGCTCTTACTAGAAAAAAATCTCTTGGCTTAAGATTTTTTCCACTGATCCTCAACACTAGCATCCACCTGAGAAAAAAGTTTTTTAAGTTCAGTGATGCCGCCACTCTATTTTGAGATTATTCATATAAGGTTTAAATTAGCAATATGCATTCACCCTGCCTGCTTTTATACATGTTTTCAATTGTTTCTCCTTTCTGTTTCCTCTGATTCTATAAACCTGCTTTCATTTTATTTGTGAATTATAGTTTTATTAGGCTCAAATAATATGTATATGCCACTTTACATATTCTGTCATAAATATACATTCTTTTACCAAGAACTATTTACAGGGGCTTACTGCCAAAGTCCAAGTGTGTGCAAAAATAGAAGCAGAACAAATTGGAATTTTAGTCTAGCTTATAGATGAAATGAGCTCATTCATAAATAACTTTCTCTTTTTCTGTTTTTCTATATACAGTAATGGCAGTGAAAATCATAATTTTGGCACCCCTTCAGTTCTCTTCTATACAACGTTTTTAAATTAAAAAACAAACTCACAATGATTGCAAGGCTGCAATGAAAGCAATACAACTACATACTGCTAATAACCCTGTGAACTGAAGTAAGTTTTAGGAAAAGTAAGGTGACAAATTGTATCAAGAATTGTAAAGATATTTCTACTCTTTGAATCAGTAATTCTTCATTTGGAAATATGCCCTAATAAAATAATATCTCAAGAAGAAAGTATTGCATATACAATGTTCAGTGCAGCATTATCTATAATAGCAAAAGCAATGGGAAATCCAAATGATAGCTGATGGTTCAGTAAGTTCTGAAACATCAAAACAATGGACTACAGCAGAGCCCTTGAAAACAAAATACATGATGCTAATGTAGAAATCTGGAGCATACTGTGATATAATGTTAAATGGAGAAAAAAACAAAGAACAAATAGCATAAATGGAAAACAAGTAGCAACATTATGAAATTTAACCCAGCTGTGTCAGTAATTACACTAAATGCATATAGCCATAATGCTATGATTAAATGCAAAGATTATGAGACTAGATAATAAAACACCTATTGTATGCCATTTGCAAGAGACACACTTTTTTTAACGTTGTCAATTTTTTTCTTTTTTTTTTTTAATTTATCGTACTTCAAGTTCTGGGGTACATGTGCAGATCATGCAGTTTTGTTACATAGGTATACACGTGCCATGGTGGTGGTTTGCTGCATCCATAGCGCCATCATATGCATTAGGTATTTCCCCTAATGCTATCCCTCCCCAATCCTCCCCACCCCCTGCTATTCCTCCACCAGCCCCCTACCCCCCAGGCCCTGGTGTGTGATGTTCCCCTCCCTGTGTCCATGAGGAGACACACTTTAAAGAAGTGGATGGGTTAAAAAGGAAAAGAAGGGGACAATGTACCATGCACAAAGTAGACGAAAGCTGATATTGCTGTATTACAATCTCACAAATTATATTTTTTTAAGGATAGTTAAGGAAAAAATACTAGGAGAGAAAAAGAAGGATATTTCATAAGCAAAAAGATCAGTTTAACAGGAGAACATAACAATTCCAAATTTTTGTGCATCTAAAAAACAGTTTTAAACTGTATAAAGCAAAACTGATAGAATTTAAATCTACTCTCATCATTGGAGATTTTAACACACCCCTCTCTCTCTCAATAACCAACAGAATAAGCAGACAAAACATTCAGTATGAATACAGGAGGTCTGAACAACTCTGTTAGCTACATTGATCTAATTGACAAATACAGAAAATTACAGCCAACAACTGCAGAATTCAAATATTTTTCAAGTACATGTAAAATACTTACCTAAATTGAGCATATTCTCAGAAATTAGAAATTCTTAGAAATTAAAAGCTCCCAAATATTTAAAAAGTAAACAACATATTTCAAAACAACACATACAAGTCAAATAAGAAATTACAATAAACATTAGGAAATCTTTTAAACTGAATGAAAATGAAAATTAAGAAATAAAAATTCATGGACTGCAACTGAGACAATTCTTACACAGAAATTTATAGCTTTAAATGCATATCTTATTAAAGAAAAAAAGTTTGAAATCAATAAACTAAGCTTCCAACTCAAGAAGTTATAGGAAGAAAAGCAAATTAAACTCAAAAAAAGTGTAAGGAAAAAACTATAAAGATGAGAGAAGAAATAGAACAGAGAGAAGAAATAGAACAGACAGTAGAAATACAACATGATAGAGAAAATCAAAGCCAAATTGGTAATCTGAAAAGATTAATAATATTGATAAACTCATGAATAAATATGAATATTAATGTTTATTAAAGAAAATTAGTGTGCAATTTAAAAGTTCCCTGCAAAAAAATCTTCAAGTCCAGAGAGCTTGTGATTTCTTTGAAATATTTAACATAGAAATGATACTATTCTTTAACAAACCTCTTTGTAAGTAGAGGAGATGAAAATTCTCCCAATTTATTTTATGAAGCCAGCATACTCAGACACCAAACTCTGATAAATATGTTGCAAACCAGGAAAGTTACAGGCTAAGCCCTGTCACGAACATAGATAAAATAATTCTAAATAGGTTATCTAATTAAATCAGTGATATATTAAAAAGTTAGTACATCACTACCAAATAGTGTTTGTCCTAGAAATGCAAGGATTTGAAAATCAATCAATGTACTCTGCCATTCAATGTACTTTAAAATTCAGAAGGAAACTCAGAGGGTCATCTCAATACATAGAGAAAAAGACTTATACAATTCTACACCAATACATGATTTTAAAAAAATCTCAACAAATTAAAAATAGATGGGAACATCTTTAAGATACATCATGTATAATGACAAAATATTGAATATTTTCCCACTGAAGTCACAACAAAAACAATATTGTCAAAGATCACCACTAACATTTATCAGTATAGTAGCAGAAACCTTAACCATTGCAATGAAAGAAAGAAAGAGAGAGAGAGAGAGAGAGAGAGAAAGAAATAGAAAGAAAGAAAAGGAAAGTGAGAAAAGAAAGCAAGCAAGCAAACAAGAAAGAACATAACAATTGAAAACAATAACTAAACTCTATGTGTAGATAATGTGGCTATATACATAAAAATATCCAAAAGAATGTACAAAGTATAAGAGTTAAAAAGTGAATTTATTAAGATTGCTGGATACTATGTCAATATAGAAAAACCAATTGTATTTGTATATATTAGTAACAAACAATTTGAAAATTAATTAAATACCATTTATAATAGTTTCAAAGAAAGAAATCAATTACTTGTAATCATTCTAACAAAGTTATACCAGGCATCTAAATTGAAAAGTGTATATCATCACCAAGAGACAGTAAAGACCTAAATAAATGAAGAGCTGTATTAAGTTTGGAGATTAACCATTAATCCAATTTAAAATCTCTTCAGATTTTGTGTGTGTGTGTGTGTGTGTGTGTGTGTGTGTGTGGCAATTGACAACTTGGTTCTGAAATTGGTATGGAAATGCAAAGCATGTAAGATAGTCGAGACAATTTTTGAAAAGAATAAATGTGGAAGAATTACACCACCAGAAGTAAAGATTTACCATAAAGCCACAGTAATTAAGAAAATGAGGTATACACACAAGTATAAACCAAAAGAACAACAAAACAAAGTAAAGTCCCAATAGAGACTCAAACATATGATTTCTTCACTTGCAAGAAAGGAGCCACTACAATCTGTGGGGGAGAGTGTGCTTTGCTCAACAAATAGCGCCAGAGGAAAACGAATAATGATGCAAAACAAATGAGTACAACACCCACCCCAGACCCACCCCACTGATTTATACCATATAAAATAATTTTTATACCATATAAAAGAAGAATTTTTATATGGTATAAATCAGTGGGGTGGGTCAACTGAAATAATGAATCAACCGAAACAATGAATCATCTGAAAGAAAGCACAGGATGAATTATTTTATGAGCCTCAAGTAGGCAAACGTTCCTTAAACAGAAAATAAAAAAGAAAGACAAAACAAATGTATTCAACTTTA